TTTTGCAGTTGGAGTGTGCAGTAGGAGTCAGGGAGATAGGCTGGTACAAATGGTTTTGTGCTGTACCATTCTCACCTGATGAGTAAGAGTCCTGAGAGCATGGATACACACAAAAACTTGTCTGCAAATGTTCCATGTTTGACATCACACTTTTTTCTCCCCCCCCCTTTTTTTTTTTTTTGGTCTTTCCTTCTACTGTGGAAAAAGTAAGAGGCAATGGTTTTTTAGTCCAAATATTAAAATGCTCCATATGAAAATGCTGACACAGAAGGATCCCTTACTACCCTTACTGTAAATTTGAGTCACTACTGTGCCTCCTGGAGGTCCAAACTTCCTCCAGTCCCTCAGTTAACATAACTTCTAGACACATATTGCTTTAAGCAAAGCTTTATGAAAAAATAGCTGATTTTAGTGAACAGCGACTAGAGCTGAAGAACTGTCTGCAGTTCCAGACCCAGAAAATACAATGCCTTTTTACATCCTACATCATATGTAAACTTGTGTTGGGGAGAGCAGTGTGACAAATAGACATGTGCAGGATTACAGCAGTAGCTGGAATACAGGTCTGATGAAAATTAATGCTTATTATTCCAAACATTTCAGAGATTTGGAGTTCAATGACCACCTATAATATACATGTGCATAAAGTATTATTTTTCTCATTACAGAATAAAAAGTAAAAATGTAATTCCAGTACACGTGGCAGCCACAAGTCTACCCGTACAAGACCAATCCATGCTTTTCTCAAGCAAATTTTTAAAGTTATCTATACCAGATATATTGTATACTAAACAAATAGGACAAATTCTAGCCGAGTAAACAAATACACTAATCTGAAATCTATTAAAATAATCATTTGGGTTTTTCCATTAATTTCTCTGTTGCAAGAGATGTGATTGAACTTTCATCAGATAGCATTCTTCACTGAGAAGTATTAATAAAAACCAAGATATAATCAGAATTTTAACTTACCAGAATGTCCTTCAGCAACAGATTCTGAGGTAAAAAGAAACCGTTTTTCTTTTTTTGCGGTTTGAGCAGACATGTCTTCGTATGTTTCACAAGCTTGTAAATGAGAAAGACCCAAAGCAACTGGGCTGCAGAACAAGCTCGGGCAGATGCTGAAGTGGAAAGGTTAATACGCCTGTGCAAACAGCTGACGTAATTGCTCCTTCCTGTTTGCTTCTCGAAGTTCAGTAGTTTAAGACTGATCCGTGTGGCTTTTACTGCCTTTTATACACTGCTACAGGAACTTCTTTCACAAGACTCTTAGGTGTGGTTAACCTCCCACTTTTGCACACTTGGCCGAGCCTCCATTCTTAATTGCTCGCTAAAAAGCACTTCAAGACCAGATGTTATCTCAGCGCCGAGATGTTATCTGAATTTGTAGGGACAAATGATGCTTTCAACTAGGCACAGTATCCACAGTTCGTACTCATCTGCAGTGGTGAACCACGCAGAAATGTGTCTCTCTTTAGTTGAGAACAAGTGTTCATAACCATTCCAGGCGGTAAGCACTGTGCTCTTCTCCCACAATACTGTTTATCTCAGAGGCTAAGTCAGGAGCTGTAAGAGCTACAAAACAGCATGCTCTGCAGAAACAGGGATGAAGACAGGGGGGTTCATTATAAGCTACCTTGAATTCTAAGACTAAAAGCTATGCCCCTTGAATTCTAAGACTACAAGCTCAGTGAATTTTAAACTTGTTAATGGTCAGGCTCTCACAATTCATGTTACACACCCCTTTCCTCCTACCGTTTGACTTGATGGAGAGACGCTAGTAGGGAACAGCTAGATTCAAGTACCCAAACTAAGCGAGGAAGTGCTGCCCATTTGGAAGCGCTATTTCCCTTTGGCTTATTTCATACATAGACATATGCAATATAGTGCAACAACACACCTGAGTGCAGCACAGTGTGAAAAGGCTACCTAGAAACAACGTGTCTGGTCTCAAAACCCCTTGTGCTGCTGAGCAGCTCTACACTGCTGCAGTACATTTTGTTGAGCTCAACTTCTCCAAATCATGTCATTTCTGAAAATGTTGGTCCGTAACCTAGGCACGTTAAACAGCAGCAAGAGTGGCACTGAGACACAGGCAAAAACTTCAGTGACAACAGAAGGCTTTACAACTGCCCGTCAAAAGCAAACCACATTCCTTACTGGACCACCAGCAAACATCTCACAGGAGATGTCTGTTCATTCTGCAAAGTCTTCAATGCTGGGAAGCAGCCTGCCTTCATTTCAAGACACTTACCAGCCTAACTGTGGTAACTCAGGTGGCAGCCAGTATGCTGCAAGAGGCTTGTCCCTCTCAGTGAAAAACACCTCTCTGGGAAGTGATACATGAAGAGCTGAGTTAGTTGAAGGAAAGAGGCCATCTGCACCCCTTTTGTTTGTTTGTTTGTTTGTTTGTTTGTTTTGCTTTTTTTTTTTTTTTAAATCCTAGGAACAAAGTTTTCCATACATAACACGAAAAAAACCCACCAGTTAACCACAGGACATTGATTGCTTACGTGTTTGTGGATAAGGGCAATAAAGAGAAGACTTTAAACCACAGTTAAAAGATTATCAGAAATGCTCTATGAAATCCATTAAATTGAGTAATGAAATCCATTAACTCATGTATTTAATTGGCTTTCTTTCATATCAGAATTTACTGATATTATTTACTGATATTTTTACGATACATTTACTGATACTATTTCTCACAGTTGCTACTATGAGTTTGGGCATTTGGCAGGGAGCCAGGTCCGAACCATCACACTAAGATACAATAAAAAATTAAATTAGTCATACAGAGATTTGCGTGCCTGAAAGTATTTCAATTCTGTGTAATAAATGCACTTCAAACTCAAGTCACATGTTCCATAAAACACTTAATACAAAGCAGTGAAAAACATTCATATGAATAATTTCGGTCTACTCTATCATTAATCCTTACTGCACTACATTCAAAAATATTTGTGTTTTACACTGTTACACCTGGAAAGGTGCTGGAACAGCTCATTCTGAAGGCCATTTCTATCCACATGGATAACAAGTAAGAGTAGTCAGCACGGATTCACTAAAGGGAAATCATGCTTAACCAATCTGATAGCCCTCTACAATAGGACAACTACCTGAAGGGATGAAGGGACAGCAGTGGATATTGTCTACTTTTTGACTTCAGCAAGGCTTTCAATACTTTCTCTAACAATATCCTCATAAGTAAGCTCAGCAATTGCAAGATGGACAAGTAGACAGTGAGTTGAATTGAAAAGTGGATGAATGGCAGATCCCAGAGGGATCAGTAGCACAGGGTCTAGTTGGAGCCTATCACTAGTGGTGTTCCCCAAGGCTCAATACTGGGCCCAGTATTGCTTAATTTGTTCGTCAATGGCTTGGATGAAAGGGCAGAGGCCTCCTCAGCAAATTCACTGATGACACAAAGCTGGGAGGAGTAGCTAATATTGGAGGTATCATGCAACCTTTCCAAAGGACCTTGACAGGGTGGATGGAGCAGCAGAGCATAAACGTCTGAAGTTCACGAAAGGCACGTGTAGGGTCCTGCACCTGGGGAGGAATTACCCTAGGCACCAGTAAGGCTGGGGGCTGGCCTTCTGTGGAGAAGGACATGGGGGTCCTGGTGGACAACAAGCTGTCCATGGGCCAGCAGTGTGTCTGTGTGGCCAAGAAGAGCAGTGGGATTTTGGGGTAAATTAGGAAGAGGATTGCCAGCAGGTTGAGGGGGCTGATTTTCCTCTCTGCTGTGGCCTAGTGAGGCCACATCCAGAGTGCTGTGTCCAGCTCCTGGAACTGGTCTAGCAAGAGGGCAAGAAAGATGATGAGAGGACTGGAGTATCTCTTTTATGAGGAAAGGCTGGGGAACCAGGTCTGTTCAGCTTGGAGAGGAGAAGACTAAGAGGGGACCTTATCAATGTATATAAGTATCTAAAAGGGGCAGGTGCCAAGAGGTTGGATCCAGATTCTTCTCAGTGTTGCTGTACATTATGATGAGAGGCAATGAGCAGAAACTTATGTACAGGAGGTACCACCTGAATATGAGGAAGATCTCATTTACTGTGTAGGTTACTGTGTAGCACTGAAACAGGTTGTCCAGAGAGATCATGGAGTCTCCTGCTCTGGAGATAAGCCCTATGGACACAGTCCTGAGTAACGAGCTGTGGGGGACCCTGCTTGAGCAGAGAGATGGACCAGATGACTTCAAGTGGTTCCTTCCAACCTTACCTATTCTGTGATTTTGTCTTATACAATGTTCTCACTCAACATATACTACTCAGTAGGGTATACATATACTCTAAGCCCAACCTTGAAAGTAAAAGGGGGAAAAAATTACAAGAACAGTCAATATTTTCTGAGTCCTGTATTAAAAATATGGCAATATGGCAGAAAATAAATCCTCCGGTCTTGGGAGATCAGAGGGGCTGGATGCCGCTAGGCTTCATTTCTGATTATAACAACCTATAAGTCTGATTATGTTCAGTGAGATCCCAGGTGCACAAACAGGGAATTTTCTGGGAATTTTCACCACTGAGAAGAGCCTGTATCAATCCTTTTGGCATGCCCCTCCCTCGCTTTAGATGCCCCAAAACTGGACACGGCACTCCACATGTGCCTCACCAGGGCTGAGCGGAGGGGCAGGATCCCCTCCCTCGACCTGCTGGCAACGCTCTTCCCTTTCTAAAAAAAAACCGAAACTTATTTTGAGGAATATCAATTGGTTCTCCGAGAGTCATGTGTTCCCTTTGCCTCTTCCCTCGGTGCTTCCTCGGCCGAGCGCGGAAACAACCGCCAGCGCCGCCGGATTCGGGATGCTGCAATGGAAAAACGGAGAGACCAGCTGGAAGGCCTTTTGAAAGACGGGGGTATCGCATCTTCGGCCGCCGAGCTCCCGGCACCGCCGCCCTCCCCTCAGGCGTGTGCGGGGACCAGCGGGAGCAGGGCCGGCCCCTCGGCGGGGCCGTGAGGGGAAGCGCCGCCCCCGCCGCGGCCGCGGGCGGGGCGCAGCGGGGCCATGTCGGCTCCGCGGGCCGCGGGCGCCGAGCGCGGCTGGGGGCTGGAGACCGAGCCGGAGCCGGAGCCGGAGCCAGGCAGCTGCAGCACCCAGACATCGCACCGGCTGCTGGCCTACAGCGATGCGCTGCTCTCCATCATCGCCACCGTGATGGTGAGCGCCGGGCGGCGGGAGGGGGGCAGGGAGGCAGGCAGGGAGGGAGGGAGGGGCAGTGCCGGAGCGGCCGCGGTCGGTCCCGCCTTTCCGGGTCGCGGCCGCGCACGCCCGGCCCGCCCGGCGCTCCCGCGGGGCCCGGCCCGGCCCGCGGCGCTGTCGCGACATGGGGCGGCGGTCCCCGAGCCCTGCGGTGTCTGCGGTGGCCCAAAAGCGGATGTGGCCTCCGAGCTGCCCGTGGCCACCCCCTCCGGCGACACTGGCGGCCACCTGAAGTTTGTTACGTTTTTTTGGTGAAGCTCATACCGAGAAAAAGAGTTCCGTGTGCTAATAAGGTTTTTGTTATTTCAGATTTTGCCGGTGGCTCACACAAAAATACATCCTGATCAGGTAACACGTGTCTTTTGTTGTTCCTCGTGTCCTCCCAAGCAGATGCAGCATCCTCATATAGCAGTCCTGCTTCGTTTCGAGTTTCAGACTTTAAAAAGCTGAAACCGATGAGTAACATTAAGCCCAGCAGAAATTTTGCATAGGGGATGACCTGGTGAACTTTGGCTGAAAAATTAAATAGCACATGTTGTGATGTAAAGCCTGAATGAGCTGAATATTGTAGGCCACAGATTTTATAGTTACTTTTCTATGAACAATGAATTGCCCGTCTGACCAAAATGTCTTTCAGAAAGCATCTGCTCTTCTTGGTAATAAATCATCACTTAGAGAAGCTACTTATGTAGTGATGTCTGAATGCTGGTGGGATAACACCATAGAATCATAGAATTAACTGGTTTGGAAGAGACCTCCGAGATCATCAAGTCCAACCATTGATCCAACCCCACTGTGATTACTAGATCATGGCACTCAGTGCCACATCCAACCTCATCTTAAAAACCTCCAGAGATGGTGAATCCACCACCTCTCTGGGCAGGCCATTCCAATGCCTGATCACTCTCTCTGGAAAGAACTTCTTTCTAATATCCAACCTAAACCTCCCCTGGCACAGGGGCATGCCCTCTTGTCCGACTGCTGATTGCCTGGGAGAAGAGACCAACCCCCACCTGGCTACAACCTCCTCTCAGGGAGTTGTAGAGAGTAATGAGGTCAACCCTGACCCTTCTCTTCTCCAGGCTGAACAACCTCAGCTCTCTCAGCCTCTCCTCATAGGACTTGCACTCCAGTCCCTTCACCAGCCTCGTTGCTCTTCTCTGGACCTGCTCCAGCACCTCAATGTCCTTCCTGAACTGAGGGGCCCAGAGCTGAACACAATACTCAAGGTGTGGCCTCACCAACGCAGAGTACAGGGGAAGGATCACTGCCCTGCTCCTGCTGGCCACACTCTTCCTGATCCAGGCCAGGATCCATTGGCCTTCTTGGCCACCTGGGCACACTCTGGCTCATATTCAGCTTCCTGTCAATCCAAACTCCCAGGTCCCTTTCTGCCTGGCTGCTCTCCAGCCACTCTGTGCCCAGCCTGTAGCGCTGCAGGGGGTTGTTGTGGACAAAGTGCAGGACCCAAAACTTGGCCCTGTTGAACTTCATTCCATTGGAATCAGCCCAACTCTCCAGCCTATCCAGGTCCCTCTGCAGAGCCCTCCTGCCTTGCAGCAGGTCGACACTCCCTCCCAACTTGGTATTTTCTGCAAATTTGCTGATGATGGACTTAATCCTCTCATCTAAATCATCGATAAAGGTGTTAAACAGGACTGGGCCCAGCACTGATCCCTGGGGGACACCGCTGGTGACTGGATCCCAGCTGGATGCAGCCCCGTTCACCAGCACTCTCTGGGCCTGACCCTCCAGCCAGTTCCTGACCCAGCACAGAGTGCCCCTGTCCAAGCCATGGGCTGCAGCTTTTCCAGGAGTATATTATGGGAGACGGTGTCAAAGGCTTTGCTGAAGTCCAAACAGACACATCCACAGCCTTCCCCTCATCCACCAGGTGGGTCACCTGATCATAAAAGGAGCTCAAGTTGGTCAGACAGGACCTGCCCCTCCTAAACCCGTGCTGGTTGGGTCTGATCCCTTGTCCATCCTGTAGTGCTGTGTGATTGCACTCAGGATGATCTGCTCCATAACCTTGCCAGACACTGAGGACAGGCCTGGAGTTTCCCAGGTCTTCCTTGCAGCCCTTTTTGTGGATTGGTGTGACATTCGCCAAGTTCCAATAGTCTGGGACCTCCCCAGTGAGCCAGGACTGTTGGTAAATGATGGAGGGTGGCTTGGCGAGCTCTTCAGCCAGCTCCCTCATCACCCTGGGATGGATCTCATCTGATCCCATGGACTTGCGTCCAGGTGGCCCAGTAAGTCACTGACTATTTCCTCCTGGAAAACAGGGGGACTCTTTGGCTTCCTATCTCTGTCTACCAGCTCCAGAGGACAGTTGTCCCAAGGGCCACCTGTCCTACTGGTGAATACTGAGGCAAAGTAGGTGTTAAGTACCTCAGCCTTCTCCTCATCCCTGTTAACTATGTTCCCCCCCAAGTCCAACAAGGAATGGAGGTTTTCCTTGCCCCTCCTTTTGTTATTAATGTATTTATAGAAGCGCTTTTTGTTATCCCTAACAGAAGTAGCCAAATTGCGCTTTTGTCTCTCTAATTTTGTTTCTGCATGACCTAGTTATACTCCTAAACTCATCCTGAGTAGCCAGCCCTATTTTCCATAGTCTGTAAGCTCTCTTTTTATCCCTGATTTCCTTCAGAATCTCCCTGTTCAACCAAACTGGTCATCTACCCCGCTGGCTTGCCTTTTGGCACACCGGTACAGCCTGTTCCTGCAAACTCAAGGCTGGTGTCCAGTCACTAGTGGGGTTCTGCAGGGCTCTGTCCTCAGCCCAGTTCTCTTCAACATCTTCATCAATGACTTGGATGCCATATGAAGATTAACAAGGGAAAGTGCTGGATTCTGCACCTGGGATGGGGCAACCCCAGATGTTGGTTCAAACTGGGGAATGAGATGCTGGAAAGCAGTGCCATGGAAAGGGCCCTGGTCGTTCTGGTCGATGGCAAGTTGAATCTGAGTCAGCAGTGCCCTGGCAGCCAGGAGGGCCAACCCTGTCCTGGTTGAGGGAGGGGATTGTCCCACTCTGCTCTGACCTGGGGCAACCACACCTTGTGTGCAGTTTGGGGCACCACAGTGTAAGAAAGATATTGAGCCATTAGAGAGTGTCCAAAGGAGGGCAGCAAAGATGGTGAAGGGTCTGGAGGGGAAGCCGTGTGAGGAGTGTCTGAGGGCACCTGGTCTGTTCAGCCTGGAGGAGACTGACGGGAGACCTCATTGGGTCTTCAACATTCTCACAAGGGGAAGTGGAGGGCCAGATACAGATCTCTTCCCTCTTGTGACCAAGGACAGGACTTGAGGAAATGGCCTGAAGTTGTGTCAGGGGAGGTTTAGGTTTGATGTCAGAGAAGGTCTTCACCCGGAGAGTGGTTGGGCACTGGAACAGGCTCCCTGTGGAAGTGGTCACAGGACCAGGAGCCTAAGAGAGTTCAAGAAGCATTTGGACAACCTCTCAGGCACATGGTGGAATTCTTGGCGTGTCCTGTGCAGGGTCAGGAGTTGGACTGCATAACCTCAGTGGGTCCCTTCCAACTCAGCATCTTCTGTGCTTCTATAAAATCAGGTCAATAAATAAATGTAAACTGAATAAGCAAAGGTGGGAAAAGAAGATTACAGAAAATAAATTAATTCTGAAAAAAACAGTTACGTTAGGAAACAAAATATTTTGAGAAAGTTCACAGTTTTTTTTTTTTTCTTTTATCACAATATATTTTTCTGCTCTTAAAAAACAGACCTTTTGTCTCAGTCTAGGAAGCTCAAGTATGATCTGTAAGACAGCAAATATGCTGCATGGGTCTGTTTAAGCCACTGTAGTGGTAAGTGCCAAATTTTCAGAGATTACACCCTCTCCTTCCACCTTGCTGACAATCATCCCATGAAAACTTGTATGATGTTTCTAGTTTAGAAGTCAGTGCTGTGAAAATAAAAGAGGCACGTTGTGACCAGTCCTGCTCTGAAATGCATTATCACAGTAACAGTGATGAGAAAGCATGTAAGTGAATCTCAAGGTGAACAGAGTACTGGGAAGCCCTTTTACAAATCAAAGAGGTGTGTTGATACATCATATGCCATATTTCAGCCTTAATAAGCTTCTAGTAAACCAATTCCTCTGCAAGGTACTGAAAAGATTGTTGGAAGAGTACTGCATTCTTGGGAGTAATGTAATTTCTCATTTGCAGACGTTGGTAATACTTCCATACTGTAACATTTAGCTTTTGTTTCTCTGTTGCAGAAATTAGGTGAAAGTGTTCAGCAACTTCTTCTAGCAAAAATTGCTGTCTACTTGATGACCTTCTTAATAGTCACAGTGGCATGGGCAGCTCATGTAAGGTAGGAAGAATATGTTTAACTCCAAAGTTGAAGACAAACTAATTTTTAAAAGTACAGAAGATAAGCAGGTGTCTGATACATTTCTGTCTTGCTGACATACTTCTGAATTGCCTGTTTCTAAAAAATGTTGAAAAATCATTTTAAAGAAATGCTGCCCTTAGCATTGAATAACTCCTCTTACACCACTGACATAGTGAGACAGAGAAAAACAAGCATATATCTTTTTGCTTTTCATTTTACCTCATATTTTAGAAGCAATTAAACTTCTAATTATGCTGAAACAGCGTGACTTTGTAACTTGCGCGCTCCAGAAGAGAGGAACTGATACAATACAGCTGCCCAAAAACTTGTCTCTTTGTCCTCAGCCGTGGTTCTCACAAATCAATTGTAATGTTGCAGATTCTACATTTTATAGAGCTGTGGGCACACCCCCACCCGCCCTGTCTTGGTAATTAAAAAGGAACTGACATGCAGGCATCATACTGGAACCACGGCAGTTTTTGTTGGGATTTTTACATTTACAAAGGTTACTGTGCAAGTGGATTGACTGCTTTGCAGTCGGGGTGCGCAACCTGCAATTCAATATTTGGACTTGATACCTCACATTGATGCTTTTATCACACTGCTTTTGTTTGCTTGCATGAGTAAATGCTGAGGCATAGTCTTTGTTTAGTTTGTTTGGTTTAGGGTTTTGTGGAAGGTGATTGATTCTGTTGATTCTAAGTGACATGGATGAGGAATTTCTTTAACAAGGTGTGGGGAAGTTTGCAAGCAAAGCTTTACATTGTGTGATAATAACAAGGCTTTGTCTCAAGATAAATAATTTTAAGCTTTAGCATTCTGAAAATACTCTGTCATTCAAATGGAAACTGAGTTCTTAATAACTGCTCCATGACCTTGACTGTATCTCACCCTTCAGATTTTTCTAACAAATTAACTTGCATGTTTGAGGTAAATGAGTTTTGGTAGCTTGTATTAATACTTCTTTAATACCCGAAATACTTGTATTAATTCTGGAGCAAAGGAACTGAGGTTCCCCTATGCTATCCTAAATGTACAATTTATATATAGTATTGTAAAATAGATTTGGGGAGTTGGCTTGCTCATGATACCTTGCCTTGCCTTGACAGGTTGTTCCAAGTCATTGAGCTTATAGATGATGTCCTGGCTCTTCTGAATCTGGTAAGTCTTGTCATACATGCTGGATGTTTAACTGGCAAGTACAGGCCACCTTTTCTGAAGTGTGTCTGTCAATATATACAAAAGTTTTTAGTTTATATAGCATCACTGTGAAATTTCCAAGTCAGGAAGATACAAAGGTCTCTAATTCCTCCTTTCCAGGGTAACTGATTGATAAGTAACTTGCTTTTAACTTCCAAATGTTTTACTATAAGCCAAAAGAAGCTCTGCACCAGGTTAGTCTGAAGTTCATCTGAGGGAATTGGATATTTTTCTATGTTGTTTAAAACTGTGCTCTCTGACACACAGTTAATTTAATTTTGTTAATAAAAGCACTGGTTAAGCTCCATGAGATAACACTACAGGAAATTCTTTTAGAGGACTAGCTCAAGGCCTGTAATTCTTATCTAATGTAGCTTTCAAAGCCAAGCATTTCTTTGTGCTTGAGATGTTGTTTTTAGTTTGTTTGTTTGTTTTAAATTTTGGTTTTTTACTTATGAAATATTTGCAGTCAGAAATTAATGTTCTTGACAAATCAGAAACACCTATTTAGAAGGTTTGGTACATTTACCATTGCTAAGAAGTCTGTTAAAAACCATAGCAACACTTCTACCTGTGGTATAGGTAACAAAACTGTAGTGTTTTCTAAAATCAACCTGTACAGTTTGGATAGCAGACATGAAAGGTGTGTACAAAACTATCCATTTGTTGTAGTCAAAGCTCAGCAACTTCAGAAATGCAGGTATTTTTCATGATGCAGCAAAGCTGATTTGTTTGATCTGTTTTTATTTTCTGGACACATCTTCAATGAGGGCATTGCTTGCTTTGTATTTTTCCCTAGTGTTTCAGTATGCTTTTTTCTGTTTTAGGCTTGTATGATGATCATAACTTTCTTGCCATATACAGTAAGTACTTTTCTAAAATGTGATATTTGTTTAAATTACAGTGTTGTGTTTTTTTTTTTCTTTATTTGTCTGGAGAAACTTTACCAAAGTGTTCAGAAACTCAGGAAAGTATTACTGTAATATTAACCCTGAATCCATTATAATAGTAAGACACACTTCTTTAAAATTCATGAGGATATGTTATAACCTTCAATTATTGCGTGTCTTAGACCTGGCAGAAAATGGGTATTCTAGAAGAAAAATTATAGTCATAGAAAGTCATAGTATCATAGAACCATAGAATAGTGTGGGTTGGAAAGAACCATTAAAGGTCACTTAATCCTGCAACGATCAGGGGCATCTTAAACTAAACAAGGTTGCTCAAATCCCCTTCCAACCTGACCCTGTGTGTTTCCAGGGACTGGGCAACCTGTGCCAGTGTTTCACCACCCTCATGGTAAAAAATTTCCCATGATTTCTTTTAAAAGAGCAAGTGTATTGAAAAAGGTCAAAGTTATCTGATGAGAATTTTGCCTTTGGTAAGATAAATAAAACTGTATTTCAGACTCCTCTTTGGTTGATAGAACATTTTCCTTTCATGATCTAGACGGAGTTTGTGGTATTGCTTTTGACTTAATCAGCAAGGTTGATTCTGGTCATTTTGATGTGGATGTTCATTTTTTAACTCTGCACAGTTTTTGGTCAGATGACCTAAAAAGAATATTTGCAACTGAACACCATATTAACAGAATAAAATAGTTGCTTAAAATGCATTTTGACTGTTATACGTGTAAGACGGGCACCTGTTTCTCTGTGGCTGTATCTGTTAAATATTAGTCTGCAAAAAATAAGGCTGTGGTCAATAAAGCAGTCTTTATCTGCAAGAGCACATAATTTTAACTTTGCCTTGAAGCTGAAATAATTTTCAGAAAGCTGTCAATGTTAATTTAATACTACACTCTGCTTTCGCTCCCCCACCAAGGAAGCTGCAGAAATTGATACAAGGGAGAGCCACAGGGAAAGGATACTTTTTTGAATCTTTTTAATTTGTCTAGTATCAACAAGTTTCACTGCTATGAAGGTTATGTCCACCAAAAACAGTTAAACTTTATACTCAGCTACAGGCCAGTCTGTGGTTATTATGGAGGCACAGTGTCAGAGTGGTTAAGGTTGAGCAGTATCGATGTCAGAGCAAAGCCATCTCTCCAGATGCCTTTGGTTGGGATGCCTGCATTTATCTGTGGCTAGAAATTGCATTTAGTGGAATTATGTTGAAATGCAAATTATCGTTTAGGTTTTTGAGTTTCAGTTTTGAATGAAGAGTGCTTCCATTTCTCTGCTGTTATTCCTACATTGTTTCTTAATTAAATATTTGATCTAGTTGCATTTTTTTTTCCAGTTTTCCTTAATGGCCTCCTTTCCAGATGTACCTTTTGGTATCTTCCTGTTCAGTGCCTGTGCTGTTGTCATTGGCCTTATACAGGTACTGGAGCCATCCATTTACATTTTTGCTTTTAAATAGACTTCCATGGGTAGAACTAAAACGAAGTTTCTTGTCTAAGAGTGTAAATTGCTAAATGTGTTGTTTGTACAGCATCCTTTTTCAAAGTTGTGCCTGTTGTGATAATGCAGTGTCTGTACGTAAGATGAAAGTTTGCATTTCCACTGTCTTGTGAAGCTGTTTCATCCAACAAAATCAGCTGATCTCCACAGAGTTCCTTTCCTACTCTTTCTAAAAATGCCTGGGGGAAATTGCAGTTTACTTTTCCTGCTGAGGTTCTTTCTGAACCGTGCAGTGGTGGATGAGGGAACTCAGGCTTTCAGCCTCAGTCCAGTGGCACTGTTTTTCTCCTGGTCTTTGTCACATTCTATTCCTTATTACAGAGGTCCTCATTCCTCTTTGTGTAAGACCCCCGGTCATGACAGGCTCTGCAGGGGAGACTAAAATCTTGACGTGCAATGCATTGTGAAATCTCAGAGTTTCTAACATGTTATCCACCTTCCATATGGGAGTGAAGAATAAGTTTGATGCTGTTTTGGAATTTGTTGACCTACAACTTTACGTTTTATATTTGAAATGCTGCATAGGCTTATATGTAATAAGTTCGGTAACTCTCTTCTCCTTGCAGGCTGTGATAGTAGCATATGGATTCTATCACCCACACTTACTGAATCAACAGATACAGGACTCTGAAAATCAGAATTTCTATAAACGTCATATCCTAAAGATCATCCTAAGAGGACCAATTTTATGCTTTTTAGCAGCCATCTTTTCTTTTTTCTTTATTCCTTTGGTAAGTTCTCCCAGTTAGCCAAAAACTTTGATGCAGCAGTTTATATTAGTTGCCTTTAGGACTGTGTATGAAGATAATGATGCCCATGTTAAATATGCAGACTTTCTCAGTTGCCTGTTCTGTGATATTGTGGCTGCTATTTTGCACTGAATGTGTTCAATCCAGACCTGTTGATCTGTAACTTGATCCATGAATTCATATAGTTTAAAAAGACTATTCTGCTACAAAATTAACCTGATTTTTTTTTTTTTTAAACAGACTAGTTAGCCAGCCTGCATCTCAAAACAAATAATTTTGGCTAAGGCCTGCTCTTTCACAGCCTTTTTATCTTCCATCTTTATTTAATGGCAGTGAGTTGCTCCTACTTATTAATAGCTTTTATTATTTTTTCAGAATCCCTACTTGGAACTGAAATCTAGTTTTTGAATGTCTCCTGAGCTTCTGTTCCTCTTGTTCTTTAGGAAAAGGTGGATTTAACTGAATTTTGAGAAAGATTCCAAAGAATTGGCATTGTTTAAATAATACATTTGGGAGGAATCAGGTTGCAGCTGATGAAAGGGGCAGTTATGAGTCCAAAGGTGAAAAGGCATAATTTTATCTGAAAATGTCCAAAGCAGTCATGCCTACATTTTTTGTCAGCAAACTGCTTTTAGTTTGCTTCATTACTGGTACTAAATTAGCTATCAAAATGCAGTATTAAGGATGTGCATGTTCATTTCAGCTGAGCTTTTTTCAGGTTGTAAAGTCAGTATTTGTTTTTCTCTATGTGATTATATCTAAGATTGAGAGTAATATTTCATATTAAACTTGGAAGGTAATTTATATTTTTGTAACTATATTTAAACTGTTCATTTTCTTTTCCACAGTCTTATGTACTTCTTGGACTCGTAATCATTTTTCCACATCTCACTCGATTCATTAAATGGTGTAAAACCAAAATTGTTGGTGAGTAATTAACAAAATTCAAAGGAGTATATTCAGATTAGGTTGTCAGCATGTTATCCAAACAGCCTGTAATGAAGTTATTTTAGTTCTGCTTCCATTTTCAGTCTTGTAATGTAGTAATTTTGGGGCCTATTGATGTGCTTCCAAAGAGTTTCTCCCCTGCTCCCTGTTTTTCCATATTTGTGATGAGATTTATGTAAGGCACAACACATTTAATGATGAAAAAGGTGAAAAACCCCTCTGGTTTGTCCTGAGTCTGCACATGCATGCTGACACAAGTATATAAATGATGGCTGCAGGCTGTCCATCCCTTTTCCCTCCTAAAAAAGGAACACGGGGATGGTAGAATATAAGGAAGTAAGCGCTGTGCTGTCATCACTTTCTTGCCTGCAATGCTGAATAGTCACACATTTTCAAACTGGCAAGAGCTGCACTTGTAAATCATACTTTTTCAGGGGGTTAGATCTCATTAAGTGCTATGGTCTAGAGGATTGCCTTCATGCATGGCTTGAGTCAGCCTAAATCCACGCTCCTTTCCCTCATGCTCCTTGCTTATGTTCTTTCTGCCCTCCTTGTGTCAGGACTAACAATTGCACAGCCGTGTCAATAGCCTGAGCTGCTCCTAAACCCTGCTGAGAAAGAGGTTGCCAGTGCCAAAATAAAAGAGAATGTGGTATCATGCAACTTCTCAGCTGAAAGGTGCAGTGGCAGAGCAGTATAAACTGATCACAGAAACACTAAGCAGATCATGACTTTGGAATCGACACTCACGTGGTGGGGCAGAAGAACAACCTTTGTGCTTCTACTGAGTGCAAGTCCATCTGTTTGCAGTGCAAATGGGCGCGTACTTCTGACTCCCCCGTGTGGCAGCAGTAATAGGGAGGCAGAAATGCTCTGAAAGGATGAAGCCAGGCTGTCAGGGCCCGAGAATAAACACATAAAAATATTGCCCGTGTTTATTGCGACAGGGACGCTGCAGTTTGCAGTCAGGTCATGTCTGTGAACGTCTCACCCCGTTAGACAGCTGGCATAAATTACTGCTTTACTGAATTTCTTGTGGTTACGCTTGCTTTGTATTCAGTTCCTCTTCCTGGTTCCTCTGGAAGGTCAAGCTTTCTCTTTGTCCAACCTAGAGTCCTGCAGCAGTGCATTTTGGCTAGCTAGGTGGTCCAGAGTCCAGTCTTTAGAGATGGGTTTGACTTTTCCTGTAAAAGCTCCACCTTTTGACCACAGACTTGATATATTTTAAATTTTATATCCCAGTTCAGCCACCATACTCCAAGGAGGGTTTCTTCAGCCATAAGTTCTTCACACTGTCATAGAGGACCTAAAGCTGTTACGGCTTCCCGAGGCACAGCATCTGATTTGTTTTGTTCAGTGACAGCTTTGAGTCATTATTTGCTTGGAGGACATTGTTTGCCATACAGTTTAAAGGACAGGGCTTTTTTTGTCCCTGAAGTGCTTGTCTTGAAAGAAACATGAACTTCAGGGAGAGGTACAGATGCCGAAAAAAGGTGGATTGTCTGACCTATGTGAACGACTGGCACCCTTCTTCCTGTAGAAAAATTTTGGCAGGTGGGGAGAAAGAGGAAAGGAGGTCACCATAGGTTGTTGAACTGCCTTGTTTTATACTTCCTTCTTCTTTCATTATTAAGCATCTGAATTTGTTTCCAGGTCAGAGAAATGAAGAGGAGGAACACCACAGCTTAGAAACCTTCACTTTTTACCTCAGTGAGCCTCTGAGTAAGGAACGGGTAGAAGCATTCAGTGACGGAGTCTATGCTATTGTAGCAACCCTGCTCATTTTGGATATATGGTAAGGCTTTGTGCTGCTTCCTTCACTTTGTATTGTTAAATGTATCAACTTTCGTCTGTATGTAATATTTGAGGAAATAAAGTCCATCAGACATTGTCTGTGACTTCTAAAACCTGCAGTGGTTACTTCAGGCATGATTTTCTGGAAAGATACAGAATACAAACCAAAGATACTTCTGACATCCATGTTGTAGCAGTAGTGATCGTCAGTTTATGTAATACATGTTGGGATGTGGAGTTTTGAAGAAAAAAAGCTTTCTCTTTTGCTCATTTATATTTTCAGATGATTTTATCAATAAAACCTATTTAGTCACTTTGGCAGCTTTATTACATTAACATAAAGGAATGCCAGCTTACATTCAGATTTCCTTTTAGATCTAATTTCTTTGCAGAGCTGTTACTTGAAACACTTTTAAGTTAGAAATTATAATGGATGCCTGTTGTTCCCTACTCACTCAGAGTGAGTGGTTTTATAACAGTAATATGTAAGGTAAAGTAAGTTTTCTCTCCACAGTGAAGACAATGTCCCTGATCCCAGAGAAGTTGAAGAGAAGTTCCATGGCAGTCTTCTTGAAGCTTTAAGTGAATACGGGCCAAACTACCTTGCTTACTTCGGCTCATTTGTTACAATCGGTCTCCTGTGGTTTGTCCATCACTCCCTTTTCCTCTATGTAACAAAAGCTACCCGATTAATGGGACTGCTTAACATACTTTCGTTGTCTTTCATTGGTGGGCTTCCACTAGCTTACCAGCTGACCAGTGAATTTGCAGAGAAGTCTCATAATGAAATAGAAGCCATTCAGGTCAGCTGTGTTATCACCTTCTTTGCCAGCATATTTCAGTTTGCAATATGGACTACAGCCCTCCTCAATGAAAGGGAAACCTTGCATCCGTTTGCTAGATACGGTGGCAGGGAGCATGCCTTTATGTTTGCCAAGCTGGCCCTCTATCCTTGTGTAAGCCTTGGGGCCTTCTTTCTAACGTGCTTGTTAAGTGAATTTTCCACAGCAATTTTCCATCTTATGCAGATTGTAATCCCATTTGCTTTCCTTGCCTTGCGCATTTTTGTCAGAATTTCTTTAACTGTTGTAAAGGCCATGATGTCTCTCTCTAGACGGAAGGTTGTGTTGTTAGAAGAAGAAGAGGCATGTTTGTCTCCTACTGAAACGCTGTCCTAAATTTCCACGCAGTGCATGTGAAGTTATGAGATTAACTTTAGTTCTTCTAACTCACATTATCTTCATGTGTGGATTATACTGATCTAAACCAAAGCCTGCGTTGACCATAACTAGGGCATATTTAAGTTTTAGCTGGCCGTGCTCGAGACCCCTTTTCCAAAATCTGCTTTTGAAAATGTTGGGCAAATAAATAGGGGATACAAAGACAAGCATGTTCTGTTTCCTTTGGAGTTACTCTCCAGGAAAAATTGCTACTTGACATGTAACTGCAGTGATGGTCGATTAAGAAATGCGCAAACGGGTACCCAGCAAAATGGTAACCAAACACCAGAGTAGAAGCTGGTTGTGCTACTGTAAGATAAGGAAGTGAGGTATGAAAGACAATGGAGACCTCTGGATTTCTGGAAACTGCATCATGGTAGAACATTTGTGCATATGGTTTGCTGGTCTTTTTTTTTTTTTTTTTTTGTGTGTGTGTGTGTGTGTGTGTGTGTGTGTGTTTCCCCTCCCAAATGGTTACAATGTCTGTTCTGCATAATCACAAACTGGGGATAGCATTTGGAAACCTACCTGTGTTTGAGTGGCTCTGTGTGTGAGTTCAGATGGCAGTTTCAAATGTGATAGCAGTCTTCCAGGCTACCTGAACACAAGTTCTTTGGGCATATTTGCTCTTTTTAAAAAAGGATATATGTAACAAATGAAGATTCATGTGGCTTTGCCACAATCCAAGGTTTCAACTAATTCTGATAACCTCCCAGGGAAAAGGGCTGTGAGACTAGAGGTAAATTTGTTTGCTGTCCTGCAGCAGCAGCTCATCTGAAAAGTTTGCATTTCTCAGGCTTTTTGTGTCTGTTTTCCTGTCTGTTGAATGGAACATCCTTCTGTTATTCTGAAGGCATGATGCCATATTCAAAGAGAGTATCAGACTGCCCCATATGAGAGTATCCCATCAGGTAAGGGAGTTGAGCTTTTTCCTGAGTAGTGGCTAACTAAAGGATCTGAGCCTCGGGAAGACAGCAGAAGAAACTAACCCTGTCGAAGTTCCAGTCTCTGGTTTGGTGGATCTTCTTTTTACCCTTAAGTGCAGTTTGATAAGCTTTACGTTTATCAAGTCATCTAGCCTCTGGCTGCCCTGGAAGCTGTTACATTTTGTTTTGGGAGAGCCATTAGTTTGTATCTTGAACTGTCTTAGTGCCTGACAGCTTTAATGCCATATTTAAAGGCATTTGGGGAATTTTGTTGTTCATCTTAAAAAAAAAAAAAATACTGTGCCGAAGTATGCCTGAAGAAATTATAGGTGAAAACAAACTCAGATGTCTCGTTTCAGTTGAGATCAGTCTTGAAAGCACTTGTGCTTTTGGTTTGAAGCACCTTGATACCTGTATGTAATTGTAAATATTACATACTTCATGTAAAGAGAGTATGTTCAGCTATTCAAGGGGATTTATACCTAGCTGAGGTTAAACAACTTCCATTGTGTCGTGTGTAGCAGGATTTTTCTGATACTTAATGAAAGCACTTTTGGTTCTGTATGGTTTTGTCTCTAATGTGCAGCAGGCACATAAGTAGTGAATATGTGTATTTGTAATAAATTTCAATCAGTGAAATCAGTGAAAAAACAAAGTTTGTAGCTCTTTATTTCTGCTCTGCAGGTGAAACATATCCAATGTTTACAGTTATGCTAGATGGTGGGGGGGGTTTCCTTCAAAATCATCCAAAACCTCAGTTTTGTGATTTTGTATAAAACACACAAATGCTTTTAATGTGATGTGAAGAAATGTTGATTCTATTTCTGTTGGTACTTGAAGAAAATGAGAACACAAACTGAATCTGACCAAGAAGTTTCACTACAGTGTTTACAAGGATGAAATTAATTATAATGTATAAATACTACAAGGAACTGTACTGGCTAACTAATGCATTTTTTCTTTGTATCCCACTTGCAAATAAGTAATTTGTTCTGCAAAAAGAACTTTATTTTTTCTTGTAGTCAAGACACCATTATTCAAACCAAATTTGGTAGCATCCAAAACCTAAACTTGAGGGCAAACTTGATTTGAGACTGTGTAAAGACAGCTGATTTAGGATCATTGTGATAGCTTTGATGTGTTCTCGAGAAACAAACTGCACTAATTTGAATGGTGTCGTTCTCAAGCAGAACATTCCCAAATATAGCTGTTCTTTACAGATTTACTAAATATCACAGGCTTTTGTCTCTAGGAGAATTAAAGTGAAACACAACGATTATGACAATCCCAGAATCACAGAATGGATGACACTAAAAGAGACCATCTAGTCCAACCCTCCAGTTGCAAAGGTCTGTGTCGAGTCGTACTGAGCACCTGCACACAGACACACCAACAACTCAAGAGCCTGTAGGGTCCAACCATCAACCCAGGACTACCACTGTAACCCCTAAACCCCATCACCCAGTGCTAGATCCAGACACCTCTTTGAAAACCAGGGATGGTGACTCCATCGCCTCCCTGGGCAGCCCATTCCGACTACCTCACCACCCAGACAGTGATTTTTTTTTTTTTTTCCTAATATCTATTTTCAAACGGGTCAACCCGTTTGAATGTCAAATTGCTCTCGGGAGTAAAAAAAAAAAAAAAAAAAAAAAAGTGTTGGTCTTTTTTTCTTAAAAAGGAATTTCTTGCATCTCAGTCTGTGCCCATTTATCAGCCACTGAAAAACATCGATGAGATTCCCCTCGATCCTTCTCTCGCAGGCTGCGCAGTCCCAGCTCGCCCAGCCTCTCCTTGCGGGGGAGATGCTCCATCCCCCGCGCCCTGGGACCTCTCCGAGTGCCGGGATCGCGAACCCCCGAGGGCGCAGCACACGCAGTTCCCGGCCGCCCGCTCACGGCTTCTCTCCTCCCCTTCCGCCCGCCGCCGTCATTCCGGCCGCCGCCGCCGCCAGGATGGTCCCGCCGGTGCAGGTCTCGCCGCTCATCAAGGTGAGGGCGGCGGGCTGCGGGTCCCGGGGGTTCCGGGGGTCCCAGGTGTGCCGGGGCCGCGGGCCGGGCCGGGCCGGGCCGGGGGGGGGGCTCGGCGGGCCGGGCCGGGGGGGGCTCGGCGGGGGGGCCGGCGGTGCGTGTGGGGCTGAGGGAAGGGCGCGTCCTTGTCTCTCGTCCCCGCAGTTCACCCGCTACTCGGCGCTGCTCGTGGGGATGATCTACGGCAAGAAGCGATACGGTGAGTGCGGCCTCCCCGCGGCCACCGCCCGCGCCGGGCCCCGCAAGGGCACCTTGAGGCGGCCCGGCCGCCATTTCCTCCCCCCCACCCCCGCCCCTGCCGCGGCCCCGGGTTTGTGCCTTCGTGCCGGCAAAAAAACTGGCTGCTCCTCTTTTCCGAGCGAGCCCGCGGGTGCGGGAAGGTGGGTTTTAAAGCGAGTGCATGTCGCTGGCAGACTATCTGAAGCCGATTGCTGAGGAAGAGAGGAGAATAGAGGCGGAGGAGAAGAAGAAGCGTGAGGAGCTGGAGCGGATCGCAAAAGAGATCGCAGAAGGTAGTCCCTCGGTTTAGTTTATGCATCCCCACGTTCGGCTGCTGGACTGCTGTTTTAGCGCAGTGCTTTTAGGAGGAGTTGTGGCTTTCAGCTAATCCATGGAGGAAATGCTTGGGGTGGTGTGAGGAGAAAATAGTGCTGCTGTTTATTGATGCCTGCATTTGGAAAAGCTCGTCAGAGGAAGCGTTAAAAATGCTTTTGAAACGGGTCGGGACCTGTTAAATGGCTATCTGAATTTCCAGTGAGAAAACAAAATGCTAAAAGCTGCTGCTTATCCTGTGAGGAATAACTGGATATGTATAATGACCGTAGTGGGATGCCCCTTATTCAGCTGTATGCAAGAAATTTACAGTCCCTCTTCTCCGTGCAGTGCAGGAACCTTATAAGTATGACTGATTTTCTAAACTAGAAGTCATAGGCAACTGCGTGTAATTGCATCTCCAGGATTTTAAGCGGTGTCACAGGCGTAGTGTTAGAGGTCAGCTTTATTTGTGGCATTTCTCGTGTGAAGTGAGTGTGCTGGAGGTGATCAGTTCATATTAGTACTGCTACTTTTTTCTCATTCCCTTCCACCCTGTAGTATTCCTGCTGCAGCATTGTTGCCCTGGCCCTTAGGATTATTTCTTGGGTCCTAACAGGGTTCCTTCCCTGCTGCCTTACAGCAGAGTGTGCTGTCTAGCTTGGATTCAGCAAGTTTTTCTTGGGTGGATTTAATAGTTAAGAAGAGACAGAAAACTGATTAATAGCTCAAGCTGTTCTTGGTGCTCAGTAACTTTCCATGGAAACTGGTGACATTTGCATTGTCCTGAACAAAACACTGTACAATTAAATGAACTATACCTACAGAAAATCAAATATGCAGTTGGGTGATTTGTATCACCTGCTAGAGATAAAGCCATTTTGCGTGGCTGTTTTGCCATCTTAAATACATAGTCTCCATTGCTCATGTACTAAATAAATGGGTCTTTTAGATGTTCTCTAACTAGGTTAAACTTTTGTAATTTCGGAGGTAGAGTCCGTGCTGTGGTGTTACCAATCTACTTAAAAATGAAATTTTCTGATTATTTCTGTAGAATGTTTAATCTCTTTAAAAGTGGCATAAAGGTGACAGGTCTGTGTTCCCAGCAATGGTTTTGGTGTGTTTTTTTCAGAAAAGCAATTGTTAAACTTTCATTGAATGCAGTGTAGTTGCTGGAGATTTTTTCCTTACAGATGGATAACTGGACGTATCTGTAAAGATACCTTTTTCTGGGCTTATTTGATTTGTCAGTTCAGAAAGTTGTCTTTTACCAATGAGTAAACTTGAAAGTGCCTTTACCGCAAAGTATGAATTGCAGTTCTGTTGAATAAGCAGAAGTGGGAATCAAAAACTGACTAGAAAGAGCTTAAATAAAAGTAGCTTTTGATTCCATTAATGTTTTGCATATTTCAGCACTAATGCATGGGATTGGCTAGTGTCCTAACGATGTTTGTTTTTTCTTCTCTTACAGCAAGTGAAGATTCCATATTGAAATGAAGAAAAGATCTGATTTGAATTTCGCACATGGAAATACATGGCTAGGCTGTGAACTGTCCAATGGTTTCTGAACTCTGCATGATATTCTATCAATAAAGTACTTACTACACTTCAGTTGGCGTTTTTTGAGTGAGTTGCCCAGAGCAGCAGCAGATATACTTAAATATAGATAAACAGTTAGGCTTGACTGGGGAGTTCCATAGAAATCATAGAATATTAAGGGGTTGGGATGGATCTTAATGATCTAGTCCCAATCCCCCCTCCCATGGGCAGGGACATCTCCCACCAGACCAGGTTGCTCAAGGCCTTGTCCAGCCTGGCCTTGAACACTGATAGGGCTGAGACATCCACAGCCTCCCTGGGTTCCAGTAACTGACCAGCCTCAAAGGTGTGAAGTTAACATCAGTTAAGGAATTGCTGACCTGAAAGGACGGTGATCCCAGTCTTCTGGCTAGCTGACTATATGGTTAGATGGTACCGTTTTGGGAAAAAGAAAAAAATTACTTTTGTCACCTGGCTGGCGTAGTATCAATCAGAAAGTCAGTGTTCTACTCAGACACTCACCCTGTGTTAGGCAGTGGGAGTGATCGCCACAGCAAGGGGGAGGAGGGCAGAGCAGGCTGCCCAGAGCTCAGGGCTGGACATGACCTGTGTGTCAGAACAGAGGATGGTGGGAGCAACTGATGAAGCATCTCATCAAAGCCTCTGAGGAGCAGAGTTTCCTAGCACCAGCCACTCCTTTCTGGAGCATTGTGTTTTGCCATCAATGCTTCCCCTCGATGTGCCAGCCCGGGAATCAAGGCATCAGGGACTGTCCCGGGACACCAGAGGTGAATGATGAGTGTTGCCCTGCACTTTATTCTTGGATAATCTGAGACTGTAGCTGGCTGTTGTCTGACCACACCCTGCCCCTCCTTTCAGCTCCAGTAGTGTAGACGTGCTGCTTCCTAGGGATTTGCAAGGACTATTTCTGCCTCCTGTCACAGCTCCTTCCCCTCAAAGGGCAAGTAACTGATGGCTGACCAGCAGGGATGCAACTTCTGCACAGAAGACAGGCAAGAACTCTGCAGCCCCTGAGAATCAGTTGCAGGGAAAAAAAATTAACCTACAGATTGTATCCTATCAGAAACTGATACAGTTTATCGTGGGGGAAAAAAGGAGAATTAAAGGTCTTGCCTCACTGTTTCCCTTATTGCCATCAGGTTGCTGCATGCGGCTTGCCACAGCAACATGAGGAGCAGTCAGCTACAGAGCAGCAAGGACGTGAGACCACTGACCTACAGAAATACTCCAACAAAATGTGTGGCAGGGCTGTGTGCTCTGCCGGGGGTGCTGAAGGTCCACAAGCAGGTAGAGGAGCAGGAGGAAGGGGACAGAGGAGCTTGTTGTGTAGACAGCAGGGAGGCTTGCCCTGTCCACACCAGTGCAGCTTCCTGCTACGACATCTCCACTGCCGTGTGACTGCAGGGCTACCCTTTTCCTAAGGGAGCGTCAGAGACCCCGCTGCTCCCATGGAAATGGTCCATCCTTGGGAAACAGCCTCCTCCACTGGCACTGCACCCTGTATGTTCATGGACACCCTTCTGCAAGTGTGCATGGTCCCCTTTGGAAATGAGCAGCAGCATGCCCACCCCAATGCTGTGTGGGACAACTTGTGCTCCCACATGCACGTGGGCACGAGGGGCACTGCCACCCACGTCCCTGTGTCCTACCAGTGCTGCTGGGTGTGCTGGGCAGGTACCCTGCACTCCCTGTGTGAGAAGCCCTGCTGGGACAGCCTGCAGTGCTCTGAGCACTTCACACTGGGCACAGAGGGCAGTAATATTAGTCTCCAGGTTTCATTTCCCAGAAAACATTTGAGAACATAAGGAGCTTTTCTCAGCATTTAAGTGTATAGCGTCTTGCGGTGATCTTCAAAATCTCACTGCTTCCCACTCTCTGACACAATGACCTTGTGGCATTTTCTCACCAAAAACAAGGAAAAAAAATTACTTGTTTGGCTTCATCTGCTCTATGATAAAAGCTTCCTGCAGGGTTCTCTTCTCTTGTGAGACCCCTCTTGGAGTACTGCATCCAGGTCTGATGCCCTCAACATAAGAAGGACGTGGAATTGTTTCCAGAGGAGGGCCACGAAGTTGGTAAGAGGACAGGAGCACCTTCCCTACGAAGACAGGCTGTGAAAGCTGAGGCTGTTCAGCCTGGAGAAGGGAAGGTTGCGTGGAGACTCACAGCAACCTTTCAGTATCTGAAGGGCCCCCACCAGGCAAAAGCCAGAAAGGGACTCTTTGTCAGGAGCTGTAGTGGTAGGACAAGGAGTAAGGGGTACAAACTGAAAGAGGGGAAATTTAGGTCAGATATCAGGAAGCAGGCAATATTTTACTGTGAGGGTGGTGAGATTTTGGAGCAGGTTGCCCAGGGAGGTTGTGGATGCTCCAACCCTGGGAGTTTTCAAGGCCAGGCTGGATAAGGCCTTGAGCAACCTGGTCTAGTGGGAGATGTCCCTGCCCATGGCAGAGAGGATTGGGAATGGATCATTTTGAAAGTCCATTCCGACTCCTCACATTCTACAATTGTATGATTCTTAATGAAGCTGAGACATACAGCATGGAGTCATTACTGGTGGCATATTTAGCTTTCATACAAGTGGACAAGTTTCTGTATTTTCCTGAAACACAAATTGCCTCTCATGGAATCACCGCATAGTGATAGAAGATTGCATCTTGCTTACTACACTGGGACACAGATAAATGATGACCAGGTGCCATAGCTCTAGTTTTCCTTTTACTTGCAGTATTTTTGTAATGCAAAACAAGATACTGAAGGGTAAAGCCCTGAAAGGTAGCAAGAGTAATAGAAGAAGAAGAAAATCCCCAGCAAAACAGATCTCCAAACAATTTTTAAAAAAGAAAGACGGAGAGAGAAAGAGAAAGGAGCAGAGAAGATTGTCTCTACCACTACAAGAGTGTAAGTAAATGCCGTAATATGTTTACATGAACAAACATGAAAACTAACTTTTATCTAAAGTAAAAGGGTGCAAGTCATCAGTCACAAGTATGGAGTGGAATCTAGAAGACAGACACCTCAGAACAGGAGGAGGAAAAGAAGGAGGGGTTAGTTCTGATCAAGTGTATTACATAACTGGCACTATGAGGCAAAACAGGACAAATTTAGGAGATGCCACAACTCAGGTTGCTTGATTAACTATAAGTGGAACTGTAATGGGTAATGTTAACACTGTCTTCTTAAAATCATGTGTGAAAGAATGAAGCCTCAGCACACTGTGAAACCTGCTCCTGGAGAAGGCAGCTACTGGGTGTTATGGCTCCATGCTTTGTGACAGCAACACGTCCCAATTCTTGAAGTGAGTGCAGAATTATTATCTGTCCAAGTGTTTCTCGGATTTACATGGAATCATAGTATTTAAGAGCAGTTCAGAGTTTTACTATGGTCAGTTTTCATGCTTTATCCTTAGCCTCAGATTTCTTTCTGATATCATGAGATCCAGATATAGGATATAATCTGATATCCATATATAGGCTTAGATATGACAAATTTAGCTTTTCTTCAGTTTTTCTAGTCTGCAGGCTATGGTTGTATGCATTGTCAATCATATGGGTTTGTATGGAGTAGGACTATCCCCATCAGTTTTGGAGTAGGAAGTGTTTCAGTGCAGGAGAAATGCTCTTCCATAGTCTTGCAACCTGATTTATGGGGCCAAATGTTGTTCTGATTTCCCAAACACCACCTGACATCAGGTGCATTACGTGGAGCAAGAGACAGGACTGCACTGGCTCCTTACCATCAGGAAGAGATGCAGTTAAGGCAAACAAGATCTAGCCCTTCCCTGGTTGGTCATAAGCCTAATAAAGTATCAGAACAGTCCAATCAGGAATGTATTTGTATGTCACAATTTTTTTTTTTTTTTAAGCATGGGCATTCTCATTTTAGGTGGCATATATTGCTTTGGTAATACGTCTAAAGTATGCTACAGGTTTTGGAAGCTGGAGCTGTTCCTCCGTTACAGGTTATTCCATCTGCCATGTAAAAAGAAACACAGAATTAGAGACACAGTCATAAATTTTCTTCTTAATCAGTGTTTTAGGACTTCTATGTTATCCAGTGATCACTGTAGATCACGCATATAGTACCCTGTCTAGAGCTGCCTGCTGTGCAAAGTAATTGTATATATGTAAGGCTGCTTGGAAAGAGTATTTTAGAGTTAGTAGAAATCTTCCTCACTTGAATATCAATTACTTGTTCATGAAGTAATTATTCAGAAATTTTCCAAATAATAAACACTTACTTTTGATATTTTTACTTCTGTGAATTAAACTAAGACACCTAGACAGCTCTAATAATTTCTGAACTCTGTCACTTGAAGGCTGTTGGAATTTTGTTGGAACAAAAGCAGAGTTCAGATACAGACACTGCGGAGTGGAGGCAGCAAGTTCTGGCAGATATTTGATCAGACATTTGGGAGAGGCCAGGAGAACCCTCTATTTCCACATTTCTGAAAGTCAAACAAATCCTCAGGCTATCAAACAAGCTTTCACCCAATATGTCCACTGCAGCCAATGGATTTCAGTACTACAAAGGCTGGGCCCACAGAAAAAGAAAAACAGGTTTGACAAAAATAGTTTGCTCCTACATTCTACCACTACTGCTGGCTTCTAGGTAGTACTTAATCTGGACTAGAAATGGGATGAACCCTTGTTCCCCAAGTGTTCCCCTAGGACTGTGTTAACTTTTCTTAGCTTCTGCTTTATGACCTGTGGGACAGCACATAAACCACAGTCCCTGTGTGTGAGGTGATGTTTCCCTGCTCCTTTTCAGGGACAGCATACAACTTCCTGCTGTCCACAGATACGTGGGAACTCATGCTGAATGTATTCTCACTAGTTCCTCAGACACTAGTTCTTAGGAATTTAAGTGGGTGGCCTTTCTGACAGCCAGTCATGCTGCCTTCAGCAAATTTAGGAAACTTTTTGTGGACGTCTTACTCTGCCATCTCAGCAAAGCTTGCTGCGAATCTGTGAGAGTATTGCATGCATAAGATTTTGAGTTCAGAATGTAAAGCTAATTACTGTTTCTGACCTTTCTTTGCAGCCATTCTCTCTTCCTCTTTTTTCTTCTCTTCCTCCAGAGCTTTCATTTTTGCATCATACTCATCAGCACGGGTCTTCCACTCATTTCGGTTGTTCAGCAGTCCATCAAGCATAGGCTGAATTTCCTCATGGAAACGTGAAAATTCCTAACCAAAACACACCTGTCAGCACAATACAGTGTAGGGGCTTGTCCATCATACACCAGGGCAGACCCTGACACCTCACCTCCAAAGCTGGCTTATGCAGCGAAAGCATTAATGGCACAAACTCTGCAGAGGGGCAGATGGTGCCTCCTCTACTTGTCCCTCTCCCCTGTCCCTCTCCACTGGGACTCACTCACCTGATATTTGAGCCCCCTGATGAGAAGGATGGGGTATGCAAGGGCACCTTTTGCTTACCTTATAGACAAACGTACACACAAAGTCAATGAAACCCACTTGAAGCTTTGGAAGCTCAGCAGCTTTCCTTCGGTCCATCATGGGCTGCGGGAGGACAGAAGTTGACCATGATTTATGAGAGCACTTAAATGAAAAACACATCTCTATTTTCTCCCCCAAAATTGCCTTGTTGTGTCAGCCTGGCAGTTCTGTCATGCTGTACATAAAGACTGTCCATCACAGCCCTCTTTCTCCACTGCAGAGGAGTGAAGTGGGCTGATTTCCTTTGCCATTTTAGTAGAAATTTTAGACAGCTCTTTGAGTGTCTGTGAATGGGGAGGAGGACAGAGAATCTTTCCCATGTGCCTCTTAGATATCCGAGGGAAGGTTCATTACAGGGCTGAAGAGGTTTTAAATTCTCTAAAACATAACTGAGCATGAAATTATATTCTTATAAGACCTTGTTGATTACTGTATTACTGTAATACCACTGTGGGTAGACAGGGTTCATGAAAGTCTACCTAAATAAAACCCAAACCACACAGGTGGAGGCTGCATCAAGGAATGACTCCTGACTCTTTCAGAGCCAAATTTAACTAAATGTTAAAAAGAAAAAAAAAAATGCTAGAAACACCCTCCCATTTACCAGAAATAATTTCTTGACTCTACAGATTTTGTGTTTGAAGTTTTTCTCTTTATCAGAAACTCTGTTTTCTTCTGTGACTTATCTATTTAATTTTCCATTTTTTCTGTCAGGGACCAGCACAAAGTCTCCAGGGGGACTCCACTCCTTGATGGTTCACAGCCACTGAACCCATCTAAGTATATGGAGAGCTGGACAAGAGTCACTGGACATTCTCAGAGAGATTCTTCACTGAGTACACACTTTTCCAAAGGATTTTGGCAGGCATAATGATTTTAGGCAGAGTCACAGCACTATGACAGCAGCACCACTCGTAGTAAGTCTCAGCTGAGACTCGCTGACTGAACTGAGCTGCCTGACTCTCACACAGTACTTACAATAGGCTGCTGCTGAAGGACGCTTATTTCTAAGTCTCCTTGCTCCCAGAACTCAGCTGCTACCAGTAGAGCTACCTACATCAACAAGGAGGGGAAAAGAAAAGTTAGCATCAACTTCAGACTCATAACTTGATGCGCTTCAGGTCTCCATCATGAAGAAAATCTGACTTTTAACCCTTCTGTGTAGTGACAGCTCAACAGTCTTATTGCACTGGATCTCATTACTCCACTGTTCACCTATTAAGAAACATTTCCAACACAACTACAATCTGAAAGAACGGTTAAACCATCAAGACTATAGCTATTCTTTTTGGTAGTTCTGGGAGGAGAATGATTGATCTTCCAGGCAGCTTAGGAAATTGCATTACTTTGAAGTGTAAACTACGGAAATCTAATGATATATCAAGCACCTGACCTTACTCTGGACTTCCCAAGGCTTTGTGATTGCTGACAAGTCACAGGCAGTCATCATCATGGCCCTAAAGACAGGAAAGAAATAAATGTATTGTCTATAGCCTGCACCCCACTTCTTGCAGGCTCAGGAACTTTATGCCCCAGTACTGTGTCAGGTATCCCCTGGTTCCTGCTGAAGTGGTAAAGAAAGACATGTTGCTGTAGCAGCCTTGGTTCTGACTGGGACATTCATCAAGAATTGCTCTCTTGGCTAAAATGGAATTCTGATGGGAAACTGATTCTTTCTGGCACTAGCATGTTTGCTGCTTTAGTCAGTGCTGGGCTGAACTTCTTGGCTTTGGAGTAACATCTCTGGCTCCCTCACGGACCTGTATCAGTGCAGTCTGTAGTGGGGTGGTGAGTGCACTTCACTGCCAGTGCAGAGCAACCTGCAAACCATCTGCCCAGTCACACCAGCAGCACTGTGACTCAGACTGGTTGCCACTGGGAAGAACAGCTAATGGATTGGATGTCCCTGCTTCTGGTCCACAGGCCACAGGGTGGCCTGGTAGGAGTATACAGCCAGAAGGGGCCCTGCATCTCCCTACAAGTATATACCCAGACTTATTTGGATGAAGAGCCACTTAAAGCTTTATTTTCCCTTCTTTTCCCCTGCTTCTCCAGAAGGTCAAATCTGAGTGGGCAGTAATGTATCATGTGCTGATTTTCCACTAAGTGCAAGCACAGAGTATTGTCCTGGAGCTCTCACCAGGTGTAGACATCACCAACCTTTTCAGAGCCGATTACTCACATGACAACCTCTTTCTTTGTTGTCTCCAGAGACAGGTACTCAGTCCAGGCAGTCGTGCTGTCATATGTCTTAGACTCATCAACGATCTTTTGAAACATTGTTCTCTTTCTTTGAGGGGAGGAAAAAAAAAGATTAAAAAAAAAAAAAAAAAGGAGACAAAAAGAAAAATCCATGAAACAAGGAAACAAATATGTTAAAAACAGAAATGCCTGTTCCTAGTATTGGTAACCCTCCCAGAAGGATTCCCAGTAGTTGCTCTCCTGGCACTTAGGTCCTCAAGGAAACCTCCAACAAACCCAAGCACCACCGTCTGCTACTCTTTAAGTATTGGAAACTGTTGTAAATGCCTTAAAATAACTGTAGTGGTGAGACGTGCAGGACCTTGAAAGTATGTACAACTGCGAATTATGTCAGCTGAGAGATACTTCCACCTTTGCTGGCAACACAACAAGGCCTTTTTCCCTGAATTTTAAGCAAACTGCAGAAATCTAGAGCTGGCTGGAGTATTTTTAAAGCTACTTGGCTTTATATACTTAGTCAAGAACTGCTAACCTTATTTATATACCTAAATATATGTAGGGAATTCTGAGGAACAGTTTATACACAATACATCCATGTTTTGAGTGGCATAAAATCTGGAGAAACCTGATGTTTCAATGCTAGCAGAGAAGACAGGCCACATCACAAAACTACTTCATATGTTCTCTATCTATATCAATATTTCTGGGTCTTAACCCAACTAAGACTTTGCTTGCAGTTCATGGACCAAGAAGGTCAAGGACCAGTCTGTTCCCAGCTGGTGAGGAAGTGGTGGTATATGGTCCCATATAGACATTGTATCTCCAGAGTAAGACTTCTGGATATTGTAATCTCCCTCAAATTCCTCTTCTGTGGACTGTTTGTGTTTTGCATAGTTGTACTGCAGTACAAAACACAGCAATCTGGGCTTGACACAGTATTTTGAAAGCACATTTTGAAAACTCCTTGCTAATTAGGAAGTAATATGTCGTTGAGTTTCAGCCTTATGTCCCAGAGAGTTAGTGCACACTGCTCCAAGATTTTTGGCAATTTTGGCTTTTGTGTGTGAAATAGACTATGAGCTGGATATTCACCTACAACAGACTACTTGTTATTTTTATCAAGCTGCTCTCACAGAGAAGTTAGTGTAGCCCTTGCCAGACCATTTGCCATTTATAAGTATTTTTAGTGTTGAAGCGCTAGTTTAAAAAAAAAACAACAAAACCCAACATCTCTTTCCATTAGGGGGTAACATAGCCCTGCCTTGTTGGAGATAGAGGGTTAAAAAGCCACATATGTGATTTAATGGAAGTTCAACATTCTTTTGAATGATTTGAGTTCTCCCACCATCCCTGCAGTCAGTATTAAAGGCAGCCTCCCAGAGCCAGTGTCTGTGAAGAGGACTGCTGCACGGGTCGGGGGGCTTTCAGAGCAAAACGCCACATCTGGCCTTTGTAAAGTGCCCTCCACACGTGGTGTATGGGACTGACTTACTTGAAGTAGAGTGCCAGGTCTGTTGCTATGATGGCAATTTCCATCAGGTGGATCACGTGCTCGTGCTGTCTGCGGTTGAGGTTCTGACATATATTCAGGGACTGAAAAAGCAAAAGGAAAGGGAGTTGCAAAATCCAAGCAGAGTGTTTTTGTGAGTTTCTGGCCAACTCCCCTTCCCCAGTGTGTTCACTTTTATTTTCTTTTAATGGTTTCAGCTTGCTCCCCTGAGGTGCAAGGGTTGTGAGCCCCGTTCACGTGAGGGTGGCTGTTTTCCCCTCTTGCTTACTGTGAAGGGGGTCAGTATCCTGAAGCTTGTTACACAGCGTGTACCCAAACCCCATCCCCTGACCCCAGTGCAAATTTGCCTGAAATTAGAAGTTAACTGTGGGAATGTGTCAGCCTTGGCCCTGTCAGAGGGGCTACTGGAGAGCAATCCTTTATTTAACATATTCCTATGGGGATAATGGTGTGTCTTCTGAAGGAACCAAGTGATGCATTAAGGAAGCCTATGTGTTTTGGTCCTGGGTGAGCATAGAGTACTTGAGGACTGAGGCAACCACAGTGTTTCAGTATCCAATCCAGAGAAAGGCTTTGTGCTGACAGCTCTGTTTTTAATGAAAAACTTCCCTAAAAGTAAATTATTCGTGCCCTTATATTACAGTACATTACCAACCTCCTCAGAGAGCAAGAATTTTCCAAATTCCAAGTGATGTCTTTCTAAAATTGAGGATCCATGAAGTTTAGCTAAGGGATGTTGAGATCTGGTTGTGTAAAGGAAAGATTAAAAATTTAAGTGCAACATTTAAAAATAAAAACGTGTCTCATTTTTTATTTAATTTTTGTCACACACATAAGTTCAACTCCTTTTGAAAGGTTTAAGAGTAGTACTTTTCAATAGCTAATGACCTCAGTCTAATTAAAGACTTTTGTGACACTGCTTATAACTATTTGGACACTGTATAAGGCAGTCTTTCAACTATGATTTCACCCCAAATGTTGTATCTGACTGCACTGTAATTACTCAGCTTAGTAAGCTTGTTTAATTCCTGAATTAAATACATGTTGAGATCTAGTAATAGGAACAGAAAAACCTGCAATCCTTGGACACCTTCCTAGCTGAAAAGCAAGGCCCTCCTGTATCAAAAACATGAGCCAGCTTCACTCAGCATTTTTCCAAAGCTCCAGAAAACAGTAAGTCTGTATTGCCAGCAAGCTTTGCAGAAGAGCTGTGATCTGACACTACTTTAAGTGACCAACAGAGTCTTGGGTGGTCAATTTTTTCCCCTTAGCTAATAACTACCTACTGAGAGCAGCACTCTCATAGGTGCTCTGTTTCTGTAGGTGGTGAGGGCAGTGCCATGCATGGTGCTTTCTCCATAGATATTTTCTAGCAGAAACTAGTCTTCTTACGCCCAGGATGCTCCTGGTGGCATCATGGGTCTCCTGTGGCACTCAGGCTACCAAGTGCCTTTGCTACACTTGTTCTACTCTGCAATGGTAATGTAGGTTTTGCTTTAACCAAAAGAGGTTTGCTAAGAGGTAAAGAAAGCCCCAGAGAGCACTGCAATTTTTCAGTGTCACCACTGGCCAAAGCATAAGCCCGAGTGCTGGTAGTAAGCTGAAAAGCAAGGTGGTTTGCAAAAGAAGTTTGTTACCCTTGTGAATTAAACAGAGCTGTACTGGAGTTTGATGGGGTCAACAGCCTGATTCTACTCTACCTGAGAGCAACAGAACTGGTTTGAAGTGGTAAGAAAGTGCTTACTTCATTTGGTAAAGGTTGTTGGTTCCCCTGTGGTCGATATCGTGGCAGAGAGCAGCAGTTACCATTGCCAGGGCTTCGAGGTCCGTGTAGTAACGCTTCAGTTTGCCAGTCTGGAGGGAGAGAATTTACATGTCATATGTTTGCATCTCTTACAGGAACAGGTACTGAGCTGCAACTGCTCTGTGCCGGGGGTGTCCTTACTGAAACAGTCCAGGAGAACTGAAAATATCTGTGAACCACAACCCAATGCATGCTAGGCTTAGGTTAAAATGGGGAAATCAGCTAAAAACAGAACATTTCAGACTCAGACAGGCATATATGTAGTGTATATGTGCTTGATGCACACCTCTAGCTTTGGCTACGTCCTGCTCTAGAAGCCTCGTGCCCTAGGGTTCACCCAGGTTGTCATAAGCACCCCTCCAGTCACTGGGCACAAAGTACTATATGAAGAGGTTCTGCATCTTTCTGGGCAATGTGGTGTCCAAGCTGAATCACCCAAGGGACTGTGGTGGGCATAAGCCTGTTGCCAGGTGTGTAGGCAGATGTGTGAAATCGTCCTCACTGATTCCTGTCTGGTCAACCCTTGGTGTGGAACAGCAGCCAGACACTTGTTTTTCTTGTTGAGGTGTTTGTTGCCCTGAGAGCCTGTGAGAAATGGCACTTGCCATGTTCACACTAGTGATACACTTACACCTCTGTCTGTCCTGCCTGGAAATGGAAAGCATGGGGTTGCCTCTATCCCAGCCAGCTAACTTCAGTCTGGCTCTTACTGTCAGAATCTGTTGGAAGAATGGAATTCCTGTAGTATCTCTCCCCTAGTCTGCAGAAGGATTTAATCTGGAGTCTACTCAACACCACACACATCTGTACCTGTGAGATTTGAAGCATTCCATTCATTGGCCACCACTGAACAAAGATTTAAGTGTAATGACTATTACCTAAGGCAAAATCTATCAGGACCTGTGCTGAGGAGTGACAAACCCCTTTTTCCTACACTGGGATTCAAAGGGAGACCTGCATGTTTCTTGGGTGCTGTAAACAAACTGTGCCACAGGATTAACCATGGTGGTGTTACCTTACCATCAGGAGTGTGAACATGGTCTGTGCAACGTTGAAGCCGTGACGCCAGTTGTGGTAAGTTATCTTCCGGTAGCCTTTGCTGACGGAGTACACAAACCTCACCAAAACCTGCAAATGGGGTAGAGGATGTTAGTTTGGGTGATGAAGCCGCTGCCCCTTGCTCTTGCAATAAGAATCGTGTCCAGAAGTCATGGGTGAGGTTCCAGTTCTGCAGAGGTGGTGCCAGAAAGGGATAAGAAGCTGTCATATCATCAGGCTTCCCTGACAGTGTTATTAGAGTAAAACCTAAAGCCTAGTGGAGAGCAAAAAGGGGAACTAAAATATAGCTCTCTACTGGTTTTTTGTTTTGGTTTGGGTGGGGTTTTTTTGTTTGGTTGGTTTGGTTTGATTTTGGGGGGTTTTTTTTGGTAAGAAAAATAAAATCACAGAGATGCCTGTGGGGTAAACAAGAGTCATCACTCTCTAAAGGAAAAGATATTTCATCGTACTGTTTGTGAATTTATTGTGGTTTCATCTTACTGATCGTGGATTTCTTGAATTTTTTGTTTCTCTGAGTTGTCACTCATAAAATATATCTGTCCTGTGTCTTGTGATTTGCTGATACTGATGTCTCTCTTCAAGAGATGGGGATTCATAAATGTAGATATGGGTAGCACTCATATCACCTAAGCAATTACAATATAGGGTGCTAATTACAAAGTGTTTTTTTCCCTCTGCATCCTGCTTCTCCACGTGTACTACATCATGCAGCTGTGCAGGTTTTCCCATTAGAGAGTGAATTAATTATGGATGAGTATTCATTTTTTTAAAATTTCAGCTATTCCGAGTTGCAGCAAAGAATTACTTTTCTTCACATGCGTATCGGGAGTTAGCTGTCCCAGATATTTTGAATACTTCTTGGCACTGACGCGCTACAAGTAAGAAGCACAGAGATAATTCCCATTCGCTTCCCTTCTAATTCCCAGCTTGCCTTTCCAGGGTGAAAACGCTTCCTGCAGTTACCTCCAGATCCCACTAGATGGGAACAAACCTCACATGATGGGCTGAGAAATCCCTCGGTGAGCACCAGAACTGCTGAAATGTCAGTTTCACGATTCCTACAGGGGAACGGTGGAAAAAATCGTGAAAGGGGCTATGGGGCCCTTGTTCGCACGGGGTCGCACCATTCCTGTCGATAGCAGTTGTGCCTGGAAGCTGTTTTTGCCCTGCGGCTGCTAGGGGCGTTGGATACAGCAAGTGAAAGCAACTTTTTGCGTGTTATGCTACCCATCTGTGTAGACCTCACAGCAAACCCCACCTGTGGCAGGCAGCACAGATCAGAGGGACTGCAAACCCTCACGTAGTGACCAGAGGCAGCGAGAGGTGGCCCCCTGTCCTCAGAGGTGTGTGAAGGGGCTTAGGACACATGTCCTCCTCTCTGCAAGCCCCGTGAACCCAGTTCTCCTCCTGCTCTGTGAGCTGCGCTGGGCAAGCACAGAGAGGGCTCTGCCTGGGGACCTCAGCCACGAACAAGGTGGGCCACCCAGGGCAGGGCATCTTGGGGTTTGACAGCCCCTACTACCTCCTGTGGGATCTGGAACTTCTTCACCACGCCGAGCTCGTAGTACATCTGAATGCCACACTTCACCAGCTCCAGCTCGGTGCAGTCAAAATCAGAGAATCTGAACTCATAGATTTCGAACTTTGTGGGCCCTGGGAGCTCTTCTTTCTGTAAGAGAGGGGGGATGGTTTACTACTGTGCTACCCATGTAATTCCTAAGCTTTGCTTGGTAAAAACTTATCAGTCTGACACCACTGAGAACTTTTTCTTTTAGAATATAACACATAAACAGACTGAAATGCAGCTTTTCATAATAACCCCCTTAGTAGGGGAAAAGGGTGGGAGTTTTTGGTCAAGTGCAGGAAATATTGTTTGTTTTCCGTTAAGCACTTGATTTGATGCCATTTGAAGACTCAAAATGGGGGAAGACTTTTAACCCTCCTTAATTCCTCTGGAGAACAAATATGGGTGACAAGCCAAGGTGACTGATGTGTTTCCAGACGGACTTTGAACCCCTTGAGATAAAGTGGCAGAGAGCAAGGGCTCCCCAGGAGCTGGGGAAGTCACTTGCTGTGCAGTCGTAATGGTAATCCCAAACTCAGGCAGCAGAGGAAGACAAGATATGCTTTGCCTTCACCCCCTCACCAGGTAGCAGCATGCCAATGCTGGGAACTCTTTCCTGCATCCACACAGGAAATGTTTGTTTGCCAAGGCTGTTTATTCCAGCAGTGCGTTGTTCTTACCAGAATGCTTGCCAGTTCCTCTTCCTCACACTCACTTGGCTCCTTCCCCAGCTTTTCTCGTGTTGGCTGCAAAGAGGATGAGTGTGTTAAGTCGGCAACCAAACCCCAATGGACTTTGCACTCGGCAGCTTTGGGGCAATCTAGGGCAGCTGTCACATGGAAATTGTGTTTCCTTCCTAGATCTTACTTCAATTTCTCGTCTTTCAACACACACTTCCTGGTAGTGTTCTCACTCTCCTTGAATTTGTTTTGTGTTTCCCCTACTTGTAGATGTCCCCCTAGACCCAGTGTCCCAGCTGGGTCCTCTAACTTCACATCCACTGCACTAAGGAGGTTTTGGGGAATAAATCAGTTTCTCTTCCACCCCTACAGCCCTGCCCTGAGTAGGACCTGTGTGAGCCCACCTCCAAGGCTGGCTTTGCTGAAGAAATTAGAAAGGATGTAGCGGGGCCATGTGCCAAGATGAGGGGAAGACCACAGAGTCAAAAGAAAGACTTCTTTTGCCACTGTGCAGTGACTAGGGCCCCAGGTGCTGCCTCCACGTTGTGGTGGCTGGAAGCATTTCTGTGAGATGGGAGAACTGTGCCTGTGCCGTGAGCCGTGGGCCAGGCCAGCAGACAGGGACGTGTGCTGCACACCATGAGGCATTACCAGAATTTCCTGGATTTCATCCTTGTCACATTTCACGTGGTAGAGCACCATGTCCTGGGCAATATCCTTGCGGTTCTCCAGCTTGTTCATCTTATCATATGTGTCTGTGTTGAGTACAGACCAACCCAGGAACTGTGTCAAGGACTTGTAGAGGGGAAAAGAAGGAGGCAGTGAAATAACCAAAACATCTGTTCCTCAAACACACAGAAATGTAACACTGGGTAATACATTTTTAGAGAAACACAATCTCCACTTTGTCCACAATTCTAGCAATGAGCAATTATGTGTTTGCTCCCAGCTGTGACTCACTCCTCAGCAGAGCGTCTCCCCAGCTGTTGAATCTACCCAGGCCTTTAGAGCATCCATGCTGTGGAGGTTCAAGGACCTTCTATCCAGCTCAGCATACAGAAAACTAATTCTGTGTTGCTGCAAGTGCCTCCATGCCTGTGGAAAGGCTGCTCTTACCATGGTGACAGCAGGTCAGGAATGCTGGTGTCACAGGAGAGCAAGGTTGTCTCATCATCTCTTACGTGTATTTACGCACACACTGTGTTTGCTTTCAACTTGTTTGCTGTCCAGTGGCCAATTCAAACTGTTTGTTTGGGTTTTTTTTCCACAGTCTTTTAGTTTGATAAGAAAGGTCTATTTCAGGAAATGCCCTGATTGATAGCAGATGCCAAGAGCTGAATGCTCATGCTTCATTGAAACAAACATGGGAGCATTTCTAAGCAGCAAGGTCCTTGCTCACAGCTGCTGCTGGTAGATTCAACAGCTGGCCTCCCTTTATATCTTGGCTATGTAGATAATTTTTATATAATTCGGGGGGGGGGGAGAGGGGGTGGAGCTGGCCCAGGCAGTCAGAGCCAGCTGTCAGGTATGTGAACACAGGTCAGAATGGTGGTGTTGGCACACAGTAGCTGCTCGTGGCTAGGTGTCCAGTCCAAGAATGCTGAAACAAAATGATGCTAACACAGCTGGGTTTCCAAGACCAAACTCCCCCAGTATGTCAGATAGCTGCTTTCAAAACTTCCAGGGTGATGTGTAACACCTCTCTGAGCAACAAAGATGCCTAGTTAACAAGAATAAGCAACAGTAAGCTCTTCAACCATATGAATTGCTTCCAGCCACAGAAAGGAACTGTACCTCCATGAGGGTTTCATCCTGTTCATCAAACGGTTTCCCATCTTTTCTGTTATAAAATGTGACGACGCCAACAATTTCTTCCCTTTTGTTCACTATTGGCATGGAGAGAACGTTTTTGATAGTCCACCCTGATTCATCTAGAGGACCTTCCTTGAAGCAACAGCAAGCAGAAAGACACCTTGTACTTAATGTGTTTTCGAAATACATCAGCACTGCCGTGTTACATTAAGACTTCAGGCTTATATTGACTCTATATTACATTTATTAAAAAAAAAAAAAAAAAAAAAAAGAAAAGTAGAATCCTTCACAAAACTGGAAGTTTTCACTATACCTGAAAGTTAAACATCTCATCTGCAGCAGCATTCATAATGTTGCAAATCTAGGGGATCACACAAAAGAAAAAGTTTTACAATATGGACAATGAGAGTAGTTTAACTACTAAAACAAAGAACTGAATTGATGAGGAAGTAGCATGAGTCTAACTTTTTCTCAGAAAGACTGGATGAATCCTAGGTTAAGTACTTACAAATCCACTTTCAGCCACATAGGTTGGCAGTCCAGTAACTAGTGCCCAGTGATCCGGGGTAGGATTTCTGAAGGAAAGAAAAATGTATAAAGGAAGTTAAGGATATATGTTTACTGAAGGATGATCATGGAGTTGAAGTGTATCCAGCTGACTGCATAATCCAGGTTTACATATTTTACTATCAGTTCCTAAACAGTCTTGTCAACTTTCAAAGAATCCATGTGCACAAGCAAAAACTTTTTCACATAAGTAAACACTTTTTCTTCAAGGATTCAATACAAAACAACACATAAAATATCATAGTCTGGAGAGGTTTAATAAAAAATAGTTCCTGGGAATGGGGGCCATGTTTCAGACCTTTAACACAGAGAAAGATAAAAGGAAGTTCCTGGCCAAGGATGTCTGCTAGCCTGAACTTTGAACACTGCTGTAATGGGGACCAGAACTGAGCAGAACTCCTGCTATATCAGATTCGTCTAAGGTGCCCAAGGCTCCCCTGAAACATTCAGTGGCAAGAAGGGAGGACAGTTCTCAGAAAGTTCTCCTTTCTGGAGAGGGGGAAAGGCTAGGGGTATCCTTAAGGTGGGGTCAGCAACCGAAGGACTAGAGAGAAGAAAGGAAGAGACTCAACACAAGGGCACCCTGAGTGGGCTCACCCACTGCCACAGGGAAGGCGTGGAGGAGGAGTGATGCCTCAGCCTGGCAAGGAGAGTGGCAAAACAGCAAGCAGTCAAGACAGCTCACTTCTGCATCTGAAAAGAATCACTGGTTGCAGTGAATTTAGGAGCCTGGTTTACAAGTCAGGATCCCAAAGACCTTGAGGAAATCTTTATCCCACAGAGATGTGAGCTGAAGAACCAACTTACATTCTGTCTCTCTTACTCAGTTTTCTACTAGTCCTTTGCATTTCTCCTCATAGATATCTTTAAATCATGGGGAATCTTGGTTTTACCTGCACTCTGTGTCAGTACCTTACTTACAGGGACTAGGCACTTACGGGATGACTTTAATGTCTTCTTTTCCATGTAATATATAATCAATGACCTTGTAAAAGACTATTTCCTACAAATAAAGAGAAGAGTGGTGTTAAAATTAGTGGTGAGGCAATCCAGGAGACAGGAGAGAGGTAAAGAAGTCCTGTTCTCACGTACCCTGCCATCTGGAGTGCGAGGTCCTGAGTAGGGGGGTACTTCTCCCAACAGGACTGGCCACAGGTCAAAAAATTCCTGGTTTTAAAATTAAAGAAGTCAGTTTTAGAGAAGAAAAGTGCATTCTGCCTCTAATCTCACAGCAACTATTGCTCTACCATGCTGGCTTTCGCAGTGTGCGAAACAAGGCATCAAATAGTAAGACTAGTTCAATACTGGGCAGCAGAACAGCACCCAAATACCTAAATTGGGAAGTGTGGGGTACATTACATAATCATACACTGCCTGTACACAGGGTGCTGCTTCATTCAGTGAACAGTGCTGGCTGTACTCAGTGCAAACAGCAATGCCAGTGTTTCTGGTGTTCTTCATTTTCCAGAGTGTGACTACGGGGCTGATCTGCTACTTGCCAGATTGCTGAAATATTTTGTTTGCTTGTTTTTCTTAGGCTTCGTTAATGTGCTGATCAAAGTGTCTTTAGCACACTGCTGATGTTTTAATACGCCTCTTCACAAGACAGTATGCTGTAAAAGCTCTGGCAACACAATGGTCAGCCTGACCATGGAATAAAGCAGGGCTATATTGACAAGGATGCTGGGTGACCCCCACACAGAGCTTGACAAAGTTGCAAACAGTCAGATCAAATCAGAAGTAACTTAGCTTCTGTCAGCTTGTCTTCATGAAGACAAATTTTATCTAAAAGCCTAAAAGGATATTGTGCACATGGATGAGTCCTTCAGGGAAATGGCGTTTCCACAAGTATCTCACTATACTTCTGATATCCACTGGCTTTCTGGGGTTGTGTTTGTGTTGCAGGCTTTGACCAGCATTGCCACTGCCAGACACATTTTCCCCTCCTTTGTCTTCCCAGCCTTTGACAGCCTCATTCTAGTGACAAGCTCTCCCCTTTTCCTGTCTTTTCGTTAACCCCATCTCTTCATTTGCACAACAAAAAGATGCCAACCAAAGCAGGAATTACAACTCAAAGTTAGCTTGCACTTTGACTGCCTCGGGAGAACTTATCTCCGCGTTATCTCCCCTCAGGGGAAGGCAACAATCAGATAGAAGCACAACACAGATGAGCACTCACCTTCTGCTTCGTCATGTCCAGGAGACCTACTGAGTACCGGTCGCAGTTCAGGTACGCCCTCACGGTGTAAAAAGCCTTGTGGAACTGCCTCTCAATGTCCGTCAGTTCCTCAAAAACCTTATTTGCGGACCACAACAGCACCTGCAGCGAGGGATCAAAACGTAAGGGGCAGCCTTTCCTTGGGAGATGGGCTTCCCAAATGTATTTGGAGTAACAAGGAAATGATAGGGGGTTTATGCTACAGTTCCTGAAAAGTGCAGGAAACCTATAAAGCAAAAGGCAAAAGCGTTTCTTGTTCCCACTGAGAATTACTAGGGAGGAAGAGTCAGGTCATCTTGGAGTATTACGTAGAAGTGCAGTCTTGAAAATACAGCACAAAAAAAATAGTTCTGTCTGTTAAAGAGCTGTCTCCACTTACATTTTAAAGCCATTGGTAAAGTCTTGCATCCAAAATCAGCTAACGCCAGAAGTGTTGCAAATTACAGAGGCTGGCATTCAAAATATGCCAATCAACACTTTCCTCAAAGCCTTTGCACAATTGCCTCGTGTGCACATCAGTGTTTGATCCTTTCCCCTGCTCTGCACCTCGCAGATGTACCCTTAAGAAAGATGCGGCTATTAGGCTCCTTCCCTTGTAAAAATGGAGGTTACACAAGTATTGCTGGTGGCACAAGGAGAGTCTTCGTGGGCCTAAAGGGGAAATATTCTCTGAAATGGTAAGGAAGCAGCTACACAACTGCTTAGCTTAGCTAACGCATGTGTGCTTGTAGCCAAATGTGAGTGCTTTGTTTTCTGAGCCCAGGAGATGTGAGGAGCAGTGCTTCAAAAGCACTGAGAGTGCAACCTGGAGTAGGCTGACATGTGCTTTAAACAAGAAGTACTATTACATGGCCACTGTCAGAAAAGGCATGCCCCACCTCTTCACTGGACACTGGTGGAGATTTTTGACAATTGTGAGCTGCATCTATCTCTGTTTCTAATCCATAAACTGGGACAACTCTATAAAATCTGAGATGTTCATTGTCAGCATCCCTCAGATAGGATAGTGGAGAAAAATGAGCAACAGTTTAGTGTTTGGCACTTTACAGCATGCAATAAGTAATGCTAAAAGCCACAAGCTCTGTGAGGAGGATGGAAAGAAACATCTGAAAAATGTCTAATTCATGGAATGATGTAAAGAAGATGGTCAAAATGTATCATATGATCTTCTGATAAGACTCTTACACGGTATCTGAGTGCAAACAGACTGAACTTTCTTTACACAAATCATTTTACCCACAGTATTGCGCAGTCTTTGTGTCTTTGCACAAGTCTTTGTCTTGATGGGATTTACAGTAATAAAATCCTAGACCACCTTTGAGAATGTGATTTGTTCATTCTGTATTTCAGTATTTTTTGTTATAATAATGGCCAGTCTTCGCGAACAAAGAACCAGGAAAGGTCTTTACCCCTTCCAGCCTGCGCATTGGATTTTTTAGGTGAGACACAGTGTGCGCGGAACTGAGCCCACCCTTTAATCCTGAGGTTCATCTGCCGGGGCCAAGCGAGCTTGGACGGTGGCAGCGAGGTCCTCAGGACGTAGATGGATTGCCTTACAGGGCTAATGAGCTCCATCTGCCCGGGGAGAGGCCCTGACCGGGAATCGAACCCGGGTCTCTGCGGTGGCAGTGCCACGTCCTTAACCACTAGACCACCTATACAATGAACTGTATTAACTCTCACACAGACTGTGACACCTAGATAGCCAGAGGTCTGATAACTGAACTACTGGAAGAACTACAGCAGTGTGTCCTGAATCTCGTTCTCGCTTTCCTCCCTTTCTGTGGGACCTGCTGATGCAGCAGTGGTGTGTGAACACAGGATTCCTGGGTTCAGAGCTAGACCAGAGCACCCTGTGGGAGACATTAGGCCTTCCACCTTTTGAGTCTCCACTTTATCTTCTAACCATTTTCTTACCAGCCCTACTGCTAAACCCGCAGCCTTTGCCAGTTCTACTTTAGTTGAAATACTCATCACTGCTGAAGGCTGTATGGTCTGGCCGTCACTCATGGTTTTGATGAATAAAATTAGGTAAAACTTACAAAACAATGAATTAGTGAATAAAAGTGCTGTCCCAAAGTTTCAAAATAAACTTGCATTCTGCATTCATTTTGCTGAGATAGGCCTTTATCCCCCATGGGAACCCCCATGGGTTGGGGAGTATGGATGCCAAGAAGCACAGACACAACTGCACGTCCTCTTCAATGACTGCCTTACACAGAAAGTGACTGCAAGGATTCACATCCATCCCAATAAATTTGAGAATCCTATTGTAATCCAAGTCATTGAAAAGAATGTTGGCTAATTATTTCTGTTCAGAATACCCTAAAACCCTAATCTGTGCTCATTCCTACTGATGGAGGCCAGTACAAAAGGCATATGACAAACATTTCACCGGTTGTAAGAGGAAATTCAATGGTACTTTTCAATGAGCAGATGAGTTAAAAATACCACATTCTTAAATATTTCAGGAAATCTTTCAATGCTGCTGGTCGAAGTGGTTAAATGACCCAGGAGTGTTTCACAGCCTCAAGTCCACAAAACATTTGGAAGTCAGTCCTGCTGAAACTGGTACCACCGTGTCAGGTCCCACACTTTTGCCAGTAGCAGCAGAAAGAGTAATGAAGGGCTCTGGGGAAGGAGCAGTATCTGAAAGCACTTGAGGGTATCTTTTTTCCCTGCTTTTAGGGCACAAATCTCTGAAGCAGATCAGGTACACCTTTGAAATCAGAAGAATGCACTCACTTGGTTTTGAGATATAACCCGTTTTGCATTTTCACTCTTACCTGGCCTCTTCGAGTCTCACAATTGTGAAGATAACTCAAGTGATAAATTTTCAAGTTCAAGGACGCAAAATTCAGGTACTTCAGAAAAAGCTGCAAAGACAAATGATGAGATTGAGTTGAATGCAGTAGCAGCCTCGTGTACACTGTATTTCATAACACTGCTTTACAAGCATCATGGTAATTTCCCTGGGAAAATGCTTTGCTGTGCATTGGCATGAGATGAGGCTTATCCCACTGTGTCTTCCATGAAAGACTTAGGAGATAAGCATCCTCATTTTAAGCCTCTTTTATTAGCAGGCGAGTCCCCTTCAGGGAAACTCACACCACTGGAGCTTCACAAAAGCAGACATCCCCGGTATAAAAGAGTCTATGTTACATGACACAGGTAACACCTTGCTGGTAGAAACTCAGCTACTGACCACTTACTGTTTCATCAGAGCTGGTGAAGTGGGGGCCGTTCAGTTTATTAATAGCCACAATGACAGCAACCAAATCTTTGCCATTCAAGATGGGTGTTGCAAGGATGTTTTTCGTAGTGTAGTTGGTGAGCTCATCAACGAATGGACTGAACTGGGCGCACTGTTTAAGAGAGAATTTACAAATTAGGCATTTTCCACAATATCCACAGTCTTGAAACCAAGATAAAGCACAGCCTCTCAAAGTAAGGTGCCTAAAGAAAGTTTTAGTTAAAAATTGTTGAGGAAGATAAATGAATTAGCAGAAATTTGGACAGTCTGCAGGTGATAAAGCTAGTATCAAGAGGAGAGGCTGCGGCTTCAGACTTGTGCTTTTAACTTTCTGTGGAGATCCTGCAAATCATAGGCATTAGCATGTCAAAATCTGTCAGAACAAGGAGGCCCTGCACCCATCATTCTCGGATCAATTACACTCTTCATAGTGCCTCCTTCATCCTTTCCTCTGACTTCTTGTTAGCACTGTGGAGTGAATACAGCCAGATACCTTGCAGCACTGTGTAGCCACAGTGTTTGAACCAGTGCAGCCACCGGGAAGTTCGCTCACCCTCCTTTTATTTCTGCTTTTGCCTGGGCCCTGCAGCCTCTTGTCAGCTTGCAGCATCCTTGAAGCCCATCTACTCCTTGTTGAAAATGTTCTCCCAGACATTCCCTCACCTGTTGCTGGGCCTCTGTGCATGGGATGGTAGATGGTAGGGCACGTATTCCAAGGGAGGATGCAGCTGGCACCGCTAGTGCGTGTTCCCTGGCCATCTTCCCCTGCACCTGGCAGCAACCCACCCCCTTCTGCCCCGGGAGCATTTTGGCAGCCAGTTGCCATGTGCAGACAGCTCTGCAATGGACTGGGCTACCCAGGAGGTCACCCAGGAAGAAAGTGCCATTCAAACCACTGGGGGCAAGCTAGGTCATGCTGTAGGGGAAGCCCAAAAATAAATTGTCTGATTCATCCTTGTCTCAATGTCACATTTCCCCCCATGACAGAAGAAAACAAAGCAGAGAAAGCATAGCACAGGGAAGGCAGGTGGCCCATCACTTCACCTGCACAGAGTCCTATTGACACCTTCATCACCTTCCAGTAGGGAGTGTAGGGACAGTCCTGCTGACCCAGGGTCTTCTCTCTGCTCAGCTGAATAACTTGTCAGTTATAAGTCCTTCCATTTGGGTGAGAAAAAGGCACACAGACCTGATCATATTCAGGAGGTTGAACCAGAAAGAATAATCTCTTCCTACTGCATTTCTCCCCATACCTTTCCCCACTGCTGGGCCTTCTGCCAAATGCGATAGGCCAAGCACTGAGTCTCTGGGTCTCCTTTAAAGGAATGTGTTATGGCCATGTCTGAAAGCACTAGAGTTGGAGTGCAGCTCTTAGCTCACAGCACTGAAATCCTCCCCTATTTCTGAGGAAATATCAGAAAGCAAACAGCTTTAAAAAGTTTACCACATTCTGATGCTTCCCCCAACATCAGAAACCTCCCCTGTCAAAAGAAAAGTTTCAGAACCAAATCAATATCTATGTTCTGTGGAAGCCAAGGGAGGTTTTGCTGAAGGGTTTGGATATGCCTGTACTGAGCAACAAATGAATGGATCAACAGATGGTCTCTCTGTAACTAGCAAACAATAGATGGAGTAATCCCAAATGCCATATTTGGGTCACATGGATTTTAGTTTTATACCTGTGATTAGAACAAGCGGATTGTTATTGCTGCCATTCTGGTTTATGTGATTCAACCCAGAAATATGGGGAGTAAATGTTGTCATGAAGGTATAAAAATAAAACACTAAAATTCCTCAGATCCCTCCTGATATTGCAGTTCACAATGTTTGCTGAAAGAGTTTTTTTGGTCAAAGTTTGTCTCTGCTTCTGTTGAAGATCCATCAGACACAGGTTGCACTTGAAGCACTTGCTCTGAGGTTCACTCACTCTATTTGACAAAAATGTCTCTAAATGCTGAAGCTTCATCAGACAGCAAACATTTTCAAATGTTTTCTGTAGTGTGAAAACTTGTTCTGAACTCCTGTAAAGGATTTCTCTCTCTTTGCAACTTACAAATGGAACATAAAATTCTGTGGAAAATTCCATGTGCATTCAGTTCAGATCTGACTTCCTCGCTCTCCCCCACTGGACTGTGTGAATTTTTTTTTTTTTTTTAATTAGACAGGCCAAGTGTGGCAGGCACCAAGTGTCTCCAGACACTAAGACCTAGTGTAATTAACGAGCCTAGCTTCACCTCATTCCATAAATGAAATTGAAAGCAACTTGAAGACCTGCTACTGGTGCTTTTGTTTCCAGTACACAGCTATTACCACCACAAGACCTTTGGCCAAGCACTGAGATGTGCTGCTACCTCTTGACCCCTTTGTACTGGTAAGCATGTGAGCCTCTCTTCTACCCAGTAAATGAATAAATGGCAAACATACCTCGTGGACATCCTTGATGTTCATGGTTTTCTTGGTCTGTGCAACGTAACCCACAATGCCTATGTCCAGCGGGTAGACAATCTCGCAGTCTGGGGGCACCAGACATTCCTCCAGAGTACTTCCCTCTTGGATGTTGAAAAGCCTTGTTGCCAGTTCGGGCGTGCCATTTCTCTGCCTGTACATGAAGAGACTACAGCGGTCGGCGTGAATGAGGGACCTGATTCTTCTCAAGGTCTTGAAAACCACTTTCTCCATGTTGATGCTTTCTTGCATGTCTTGGATCAGCTCAAAAAGTATTTCACTCTCGTTGTTATCCCAGGACTCTGTTTTCAGCTTCTTCTCAAAGTACTGCTTGGCAAAAGCAGGGTTGCCATCAAGAAACTTCTCCACGTCGTCTTGACTAATGCTCATTGTGAATGCCCTGGATCTTGTGGAAGGTAGTAGTCCAAAGATGTGGTCGTTGCAAGCAGCACTCTAACTTCTCATGTAGTTCCTAAGCTTTTGTAGTGGAAGATGCTGCTTCTAGAATGACCAAGGGTGAGGTATCACTGCAAAGAGAGCTTGTCATCAGGAAGATGTATTCCTTTATAGTGTCGAAGGCGAGTCTGTGGGAGGACAGATCTTCTCAACCAAAGAGATTAGACGACCTCTACAAGAGCTTTGGGTCAACTTTCCTCTTCTTAATCTAAATGCAAACAAACACTGAATACTCACAATATCTGAAAACGCTCTTCTTTCTCTTGATAAGCAGAACACTTACTGAAACAATTATATTGAGGCAGCAGCAACAGGGAAGAACTGCATCTCCTAACATTGAAATAAGCTCTTTAAAGTCTAATTAAATATATACTGCTTGGGCCTAATCCTTGGCTAACAAGGTGAGCATCTTATTATTTCTGCTCTCCCAGCTCCTAGCAGGAGTAGGAAGTGCATCCTTCACAAAAGAACACAGTGGCCAGAACAAAAATATCGAGATAACACTGCTCTTTCAGGACTCTCTCTACAATTTCATGGGTCTTGGGTGGCTCTTCTAATGTCTGTTCTCTAACAAAAACACCAATGCTGAGTGCTTTAGTCCAGGATTTGGACTGAATTTGAAAGGGCTATGGCCTTTTCTTCTTCCTAGTAAGGACAGAAAAATGTGCCTCTTAGTGGATCCTTTTAGGAAGGAATCTGGAGAAGTTTTATTTGGTTATGATTGAAACACTCTAAGGAAACATGGTAAGCCCTGAAGGCAACACAAACAAACAAACACCAAATAAAACCCAAGCAAACCAGGAAGGTAGAAAATTTTCCCTCATTACTGTCAGTGGAGAGAAAGAGTGAGATCTATAGCTGTGGGGAACATAAGTTGTTTCACATCAGTGAAGCCACCACGCTGTGCAAACAGCAAGTGAGGATAAATGTGATGCTCGGAGGCAAAATGCCTCTGAGGCCATTACCTTTCAGAGGAATTAAACAACGCACAGGAGTTTTCATTACTGGCAAACAAGAGTAAGTCCCATCGACCACACTGCTGGAAAATAAGCAAGGCTAACCTGCTGAAGGAGTAAGGGTCTCATCTGGCCTCTCTGTGAGTATCGTCACTCCTGCCAGGAGTGGTGCAATCCAGCCCAAATGGGAATGTGGATGCCCGGGAGGATGGTGGCTTGTCTTGGTAGTTCTCGTAGCCAGGATACTAAAACAGAATTACTGCTCAAGAAGACTCTTGAAGGAGGTGATGTGAATACCAGGGCATTCACTGCCTCCAAAAACCACGTTCTAAAAGAGGGAGGGGGACCTGCTCAGGGCTAGCATGGTGGGTGACTGCTCCAGATCTCCAGAATGGGGGTCAGTGAAACCTTTTTCTGAGCAACAAGCAGGACAGTCCCAAGCACAGAACATGGTGGCAATGGTGAATTTTAGTTTTCAAACCTGCTTTTCAAAACGTGTTTCAAGTTGCAGGTTGTTAAGCGAGGTTTCACGTTGCAGGAGTTTTCTGGGTACAAAGGGTGGCAGAAAGAGTACCAGGGAGTTTTCTTTCGGTTTGACTGAAAGTAAGGGAAAGAACTGGCTGACAAATGAAGGTGAGAGACAGTTTAGGTGAGTGAGACCATGAAATGTAAGTTTCAAACTGGAAAAAACAGGCCATTTTGTAAGTTTTGTGTTCTTGTTAATCTTAAGGAAGAGAAAACCAGACAGAAAATGTATAAGCATGGTGAAATTATTGAAGATATGTATAAAAATACTGTGAAGAAGTAAAAATGGAAAGTAAGAAAAGTCAAATTGAATATGAGATTACATTAGGAACATGAAGGGCAATGAACACTCTGTTTATCATATAAGGAAGGGAATTTTAGGGAAAGTATTGAAGAGCTGGAGTTTTTAGAGGGCTGTATGAAGTAACCTCTGAACTGTTAATGACTTTTTCTGACAATTAATGGAGGATCTTCTGAGGTTTTGAAATGCTGGGAAAAGGTAAATGTAATGATTCTTACTGCAAAATAAGAAAAAAGAAGAACTGGAGAATTTAACAAGAGACCATTTTAGGCTTCTAAGAAAATACAGGAACAGAAGTGTCTGAACATAAATAGAGGAGGCAAGTAAGAGTCAGCGTGTTTTTGTCAAGAGTAAACTGTGTCATACATCATAATTTCCTCTGCGCTGGAGTAAAAAAGTCTTTGGACACAAGGAAAGGATTGACTGTCACAACTCTCAACTGATGAGCAAATGACACACAAGATACTCTGTCTCTTCAAGTAAAGGCTTAGATGAAATAGTTAAAAGGTGGCAGCAAATGTGTTTGAGAGATGAAGAGTTGTTGTTAGTAGGTCACTAATGAAACATAGAATTTCTTGAGTAGGAATCTCTGTGGAGGCTGTCACAGATGCAGGGCATTTCATTATTTCCCTTGATGGGTGGAAAAACATTAAGCCAGTGAGCAAGCCGTGGTCAGGTGTCTGTAAATGTGCTTTAGCACCATCTTAAAACTAAGTTGCAGACAGGTGTGTTCAGGACTAGAGCACTGGACCTCACCAGGGGTGTATGGAAAGTTCCACCTAGATTGAGAACAGTCACCTGGTGGATTCATGGGGATGAGTCACTACCTGGGCTTAACAGGGACCTCACATGTGTCAGGACTACCAGGCAGAAGGAAATGTACATCCACCGGGATGAACCTTCTATTGCATAACAGATGACTCACGTGGAATACAGTGGGCAAATGTGACCTCTGAGGAAAGACTGAGGTTTCTCATGTCTCTTTTTGGAGTCATCTCTTTTCTAAACAAAACGATCTCCAACTATATTAAATACTACCGCTGAGGAAAAGGGATCAGTCTGTTCTCCATAATCATGTTAGCACAGCAGATTTTAAACCTGCACAGGAAAGGCTTCCAAAACAGTGGGAAGAGATTGCTCTTACCCAATCTTAGGTACCCCTAGAAGCAGAGACACCATCCTTTTTCTCAGTGAACACTTCCAGTCAGAAGAGATACACATGCAGTGACACAGCCAGCTGGAGCTTATAAAGACAAAAAACTTCCTAAAACTGGAGGAAAACTAATTTTTCTATCACTGAAGACACTTTCTTTCCTTGAAGAAAGCCTGAAGTGAAGCATAGCTCCTCTTACAGTCCAGCATCACCACAGCTTGGCACTTTTTAGGATCTACTGGAACCTCCTTGGGCCAGGTCAGATTTGAGTAAGGAAAGGCCTCCTCGGAGCTCTTAGCCACTTCTCAGAGATGTTTCAGTGTCCAGGAATCAGACCACGTATGAGATGGCTGCCACAGGACAGAGCTATACAGTTAGAGGGTATGCTCAGGATGGTCTTTATCTGAACAGAAGGTTCTTTGGGCTTGGCAACATGTGGTGTTTTCTTGTGGATGCATTAAGGGGTATGCAAACTGTTGTGTACGCATTTTGGTTGTGATTTGGGAGCTGAAAAATTGCAAATGGGTGAACTATTCATATTCAATCGAAACTGGCACCCTTTTGGATCCAAACCTTCCAGATATTCACACTTTGTTTGGTATGAAAGGTTATGTTTCATTCAGGATAAATGTTTCTGTCTCAAAACATTTGTAAGAAAAACAAGCAGCGTCCAACAGTAATACTCCGGGCCCAAAATACTAAAGATCCGAGCTCAGTTCCTGCTTCTGCACTCAGGGTTTGAAACTTAACAAGAAGTTTTCCTCTTAATAAGGGGAAGGAATGAAAGTCCTGAAGTGCTGAAGTTTCTAGTTGCGGAGGTGGAGAACCTGATGCAATATTTGTTAAGCCAAGCCAGGGCTGTGTAAGTGCAGCCCAGTTGAAACCATGTAGGAATGGCAGGTGGAAATCTAAATCTCCTTTGCAAATGGAGCCAGCAGTGCCACAGAAACCCCCTTGGAGAAGAGTGGTGGGCTGAGGTACCCAGAATTCAAAGCATGTTTCCAAGGCTTCAGGTATTCCTTCTCTCGGCCTTCAGGGATACTCAAGTGGCACCAAGAAAGCCCCTGCAGGCATAACATTGGTAACTGAGGTGGATACAATCTAAGCTCGCAATAGGATAATGTTCTTTGAATGGACTTAGGCAGACAATGGAGGATGAGGATGCTATTTTAGGAAACTTGCACTAGGCTGTCACGCAGCACAATAATATCGGAACACGTGTGGTTGCACAAATTTGTTTTTAGCAGCTTTAAACATGAATTGCAAAGTTGGAATAGGACCTCTACTTCGTGGGGTGTTGGTGGACGTCGTTTAAACAGTGTTTCAAATGAAAACCTCAAATGTTTAAGCTGCCCTGAAGGCTTGGCTGGCAGATGGGAAAATGAGCTCGAGTACCTGGGAATAAAATTCCTTTCCTCCCAACGACTCATAGGACAGTATGTCCCCAGTCCTAGGAGGGACACTACTGAAAACTCCAACTGTGGAGTAAAATCATCCAGCTGATGCGGTGCAAAACACCTCCCAGGAGAAGCAGTGCTTTTAGGACCACTCATGGGACTGTGTCCAAAGCAGTGGGTGCAGACATGAGCTGCAAAGCAGAAGGAGGGATGGCACGTGCTGAGGGTGCCAGGGCTGAAGACGCTTTATGCCTCTGCTTCCTGGGAAGGTTGTTTTCCTCCTAACCAAGAGGCTATGGGGGGGGGAGCTGCAAGTGGCTAATTTGATTAGACACTATCCTTACAGGACGCTGTATTGACAGCTATGCTCAAACCTTTCTGACCCCCTCATCCGTTGCTGCATAACGAGATTGCAGCTTATCTGATTTACCGTGTAATATTCTCATGCCACCTGCTTGTACACAAGAATAAGCTTTCCTGCCTGGAGCCATGGGAGCCCAGCGAGGATCAGAGCCATGTCCCTTGCCTCTCCTGGGCCAGGGTCTTCTTCTCCCCACCAAGGTCTGGTCTGCTCCCCCAGCTGGATGTGGATTGTCTCTTGCTCTGTGGAGGGCTAGCATGCAAAACCTTATGGTTCTTGCTCAGCATCTTCCCCTTTTCCTTCCCCTCTGTGGCTGTCCAGGGACCTTAAGATGGCACCACAGCATGACCCTGCCACCTGGGATCTTGCTCCTCATCCCAGACACTGCTGGGCCACACTCCTGCCTGCAGTGCCAGGTAGTGCAGCCACC